TGCAATATGTAAATTACTTTTTTTTTTTTTTCACCTCAAAGCTTTTTTTAAAATTCTTTCAAAAATAAAAAAATTTTGTTTAGTAGTTTAACAATTTAAAAAATATATTTTCTTTGATAACATTCCTGACTTTTTTATATTTTCTTTACTAGTTTGGTTCAACATGGTACAGGCTGTGGAAACGCTCGGACTTATTGGACTAATTGCATCTATGTTATTGTCACTGGCCACATTGTTCTATCAACATAACAAGAAGTATAAAATAGCCAACGTCCTGATTCTACTGGTCTCAGGTAATTGATGTGTACAACGAACGCAATCTCCACACAGTGATCTCCCCTTAATTCTGAATTGAATTTCTGATATACTATATTTTTTCAAAAATTGTTTTATTTACTGCTTTTATCTATCAGTTCAGTTTTTTCTCATTGATTAAACAATGTTTATGGATAAATAAATAAATAATATGAATATTTAGAAATAATTTAAAAAAATATGAGAAAATTTTCTACCGAGACAATATTTTGATATTTTATATTTTTTAGCTTTTGAATTTATTTTTCGTTATTTTGTATACTTTTGATAATTGTTTGATAAACTATATCGATCGTAGGCACTCAAAGTTAAAAATAAAACAGAAAGAGAAAAATGACGTTAGATTTTCTATGTAACGGTCGATATTTACATTTGAATTTCGACGTTACGTCATGTGACTTTCATCATCATGTGACGTCTTTGAAGGCAATGATTACAATACTGCCAAGGTAGGTAATCACTGTGAGGAGTTTGCAACGAACGGAGTGTCAATAATCACCATTCACGGCCGTCAAATTCCGGAGAAAAATTTTATTGAAGTCATAAGACGAGTTTCATATGTATTAATATTCTTGTTACAAATTTCATGTGCAAAAGGTAGAAAAATAAAAAAGTACCTAAACGAATACCAAAAACGGCAAATATAGGAGTGAGATATTTCATTTCAGGTACATTGATGGTGATTGGTTTGGTCGTTTTCAAAGTCAAAGCAGATACATTTGAGTTATTTAAAGACTTGGGTAAAATTGAAACATCAGAAATGGAAATTGACCAAGTTGATGCCAAGCTTAATTACGCTTATTTCCTGTGTGGTGCTGCAGGATGCCTAAGTATGCTCGTGTGCGCGCCTCTCTATGTGAAAGATTTATGTTCTTATACCCCGGACACATTGAATGAATCTGCGGTACATTATACAGCTCAAGCTCAATGCCTTGTTCAAGGAAATATGGACAGCGGATATATGAGAACCGCGGATGAACAATATGGATTTCCACCAGCTTACGAGCAGCGTTATGTGCCGAACAATGCAGAACTGCCCTATAAATCATAACGTTCTCAAGTGCATACATTCACGTTTTATAAATGCCTTGTACATAACAAAATTACACGTGTACTTTAATACCTTTAAAGGATAGAGTTTATCACGGTTGATATCACCGCAATTACAGAGCGCTGCCCTGGGGCATTTGTTGAGATTCATAGAAGGGCTTAGTTAGGCTTAGCATCCGCGTATACCAAACGATTAGACAATAACAATTAGGTATGTATGCAAATAAGCACATGTATGGATTAAGGCATATCGGCGGGGATGCGATTCTGTACATTATGTAGATAGTTCACGAGTACGTATGGCATTCACGTGAGTTGTTTCGCTCGAGTTAATAATTACACTGACTGAATTTTCCTTCTATAAATCTATCTTTTGTGAAATTGTATAAAAATCTAAACAAACGCAGAATGATTTTTAAAAGTTTGTGTATATTCCAAGTCCGACTTCATGATTCGATCAAATATGGACAATCGATCTCCGATGCATGTGTGAATAACTCTGTTCGTCGTATATAAATAAATATTTGTATCTTGACAAAATGATGCTTCAGGTTCTGTGTTTATATTAAATTGCTAATATTATTTGGCTTCTGGTAACATTGGAGTTGTGTCTGAAGTCAATATCACTGTAAATGCTCCTGGGAGTACATTATGTATAAGAGCATTTGTGACAAATATCGAATTGTATTCACATAGAAATAGGCAATACATCACGTATAGGTTATTGTTTATTAATAAGCGTTTAAAACGGCGCGGTCGTTCGATCAATGTAATTAAGTAACAAGAGGACCATGATGGTCCTGAAATCGCTCATCCTAATATAAAAACTCTCCATGACAAGGAACAAGTTTCATTGTAAACTTAAAACAAAAGCAGATATAAAGGTACATGTAAACCTTAAAGTGAAATCACAAAGTTTTTATTTGTTTTTGAAATGGTGCATGTGTAAAACATTACATGTTGCTATTGTTTAGGGAAAACAAAAGTCCCAAAAGATGTGTATATATAAGAATAATATAATTGGGGCAGGGCTAATTTTGATCGCTGTACTTTTATTTGAACAAACTTGGTAGACACTCACTAGAAGATGTTTCATGCTAAATATCTAAGCTCTAGCTCTTTCGGTTTCTAAAAATAAGATTTTTAAATAAGTCTTTACTATATACAAACAAAAACGAAAATCATTGATTCCTTAGGGTGGGGCCAATTGTGATCCAAGGGGCTTTTATTTAAACAAACTTGGTAGACACTGACTATAAGATGTTTCATGCCACATATCTAAGCTCTAGCTCTTTTTATTATATACATATAAGGAAAATGAATGACTCACTGGCAACAAAAGTTCAGCATGGAATTAAATTCTTTGAACAATTTTTAAAGGTGACCACCAAAGGAACATTCCTGTGAAGTTTGGATGAAATTAGCTTAGCGGTTTAAGAGATGTCGTTAAAGTAAGGTTTACGGACGGAAGATGAACAGACGCCGAACGAATTGTGATCATAAAAGCTCACCTTGCCACTTTGTGAAAGGTGCGCTAAAAACTTATTAACACTAACCGATTTAGTGTTTGAAATTATTTTTATAAAACTGTCACTTATCTAGACTGATCAAATTTAGCCTATTCACCAAAGTAAATGTGTTACGATTCATTTGAAATACATGTACTGCAATTCTATTGGACAAAAATAATTTCAAACACTACCTATCTATATTGGGCAAGTTTTATCAATGATAAATTCGTATAATAAATATACTTGTCTATCTAAAGATCTTCTGCTTATTTGCACTGTGTGAAAATAAAGTTGAAATAGATAATTTGCTATTATTTTAATTCTTTCTTCAAACTGATAACCACTGATAATCACGTGTACTGTGTATTTGTGGTTATTTAATTAGGTCTGTATCTCCATTTTATGAAAACCTGATTTCTTGCATTAAATTAAATGGCATCAAGTTGAATCAAATAAGATCATTACGATCTAGTACAGACAATAGTTTTGCATTCACACCACAGAAAAATGTCCAAATTCAAATAAGCACCATTGTTATCATGGTGCCTTATAGATAAATTCATCAACATTCCATAAGCTAGCTTGAAACACTAATATATGTACTACTTCAGATACAAACAATATCACGACAACAATCAAAATCTATCTTTTTTTTCATTTATTCAGATTTCACAAGCCATAAAGACAGATATTATATATTTCATTTTAAAGGTTTTCCTTTATATTCAAAGTTAAATTTAAATTTATTAAATTCTTACGAAAAAAATATAAAATGTTATCTCATGTCATGGCAAGACATAAATGTATAGTGTTCTTATATCTTTGATGGTAATCATTAAAACAATGATCTATGACAAGTGAACAACTTTCCCATTGTTATGATTCTTATGATTATCTCATGAATTCATAAATATATGGTCAATTTTAGAACACAAATAAAAAACACAAATATTTTAGACAGTTTCTTATAAATTTCTTCATTTTTCAGCAAAAAGTTTATCCATTTTTACCCAGGTTACTTAACAAAAAGCTTGCTTTCATTAATGTGAAATAAATTTGCTTTTTTCAAGATAGCACCTGAGAGAAGACTACTGTATTATTAAGTTTTCATAAAAATAAAGCAAACCTTAAGGTGTACTGGTTTAAAATTTCTAAATTTTAATCAAGAGAAAATCTAAATGATCTGATTAATGAATAGGAGCTCGCTCGACTATAATCAGTACCTGATAGTAGTGGAATAAAAAGCTCTAATTGAAAGTGTAATAAGAGGTCTTTTAAAACTGCATGTATACTTAAAAGTGAAAAATGGCATATCCATTGAACAAGTCAGATGAAGTAAAGCATTCACTAAGTGAGGGAAAAGGCATGATTAAGACTCATAGTAATAATTCACATGAAAATAAAGGGTATTAAAAAGTATACACAGACAGTGGGGTGATACAAATACTAAAATCAAAAACAGTAAAAGTGGTACAAATTTGTAAAAACTTATGTCAAGAGTTATTTCTCTAGCTGGAAATGGGGCAGATAATTAGGGTATACTTCAAACTCCACAGTGATTACCTCTCTTGGCAGATTTATAAATGATAAGGGGAGATCACTGCATAGGAGATCAAATTCTTGACAAGGTTATGGCCTCTTGTCGGGAAGTGAGGTACAAGTATTCATAGTTTTAAGCATTAACTCGAAATATAAGTAAAGTGGGGCATTGGAAACTTCACCAAAAGTGGAATGCACATTCAATGATGAGTAGGATAGCTCTTCCTATATATAAAAATTTAACAGATGAAGATAAAGATGGTGATAATACACAAAATATGATGGCATAAAGATAAGCATCCTAGTGGTTAAGCTAAATGCAACCAGTCACCCTGCATAACAAATCTCAAAATAATACATATTGCACAAGGCCAAAAATGATAAAATTTTGTTTCTGGTCATAGGGAAAAGAGAGTAGGTAGGTGGGAATTTCCTAATATATATTTGTACATGTATATGTTTATATATATGAAGAATATATACGTAAAGAAATTATTGAAAAATTAAGAAAAGCAGGGTTAGCATTATAAAAAGGGGGTTCCTTGGAGGACCTGAAACAGAATGTTTTTAGCCTAAGCACATATGATGAAAATGAAAAAAAATACATTATCATTGGTAAATATTATGCACATATCAAGTATAAAAATATATAATGAAAGAATTACAATTGGTATATACCCATAATACAAACTAGAGGATCATAATGTTTACAAATATATATTGTTAAATACTGGCTAAAATTATGTTGTTAAAGCAAATCAGCAGAAAACAGATATATAAATATATGGTGACTATACCTTAATACAATAACAATGTTAATTACCAGATCAATGCAACAAAGCTGGTATTAAGATTTTAAAATACAGTTGAACTTGACCCTAACATTTTAAGTCAGACAGTATTTGTTATTGTAAAATCAGTGTTCCCACTAGAATTTAAATTTGAGGGTACATGTACCCCCTAGGTCATAATTTTGGGGGTACACAGAATATTAAGGGGGTACAAACTATAATTTAGACAAGCAAGTCAGTTAAACACAGACAGTTTTAAGTGTTTTTTTTTCATATATCTCGCATGTTAAACAAAACATTTTCCCGTTGTCTTTGTCAAATCTAAGCCATGAAAATTCGGACAACCAGGAGTTCTGAAATCGTTTGCAATGTTTCTTTTTGGGGGGTTCAACACTATTTTCACTAGGGCCTGGTTCTTGATTTGCGCTAGAGGATTGAGTAAAGGTCGGCGATTTTTCGCTGGAATCGCTTTTATGGAACCATTCATTTAAATTGCATTGCATTTTTTAATAACTTTTCCAGCGATTATTTAATATTTCAGACGGCTTATTTGTATTGCCCGGATGTAGACTTGTTACTGCGTTTAATATAGAGCGTCGCTAAGCGTCGTTAATAATTATGAACCAGTCCATGAGCTAAAAATAGCACAGCTGGGAAACCCGAGTTATGACCTCAGATTAAATTACGGTCGTATCGATTTTTACGGTCTTGTAAACAATTTCAGAGATTTATGAGTAGAATATTGATTTGTGATTCGAATTTGCGGATAATGTTTTGGCAGTTCAACTTCAATTTTTATACGTGCATGCACGAACCTAGTTGTAATTTCATGCGTGATTTTTGTAAATTATACGTGATTCACGTACATTTGTGCGTGAATGGGAACACTGAAAATTGTATAAGTGGTAATATATGGTACATCCCTTCAAACAATTCTGAGATTTCCACTAACTTTAGCAGAGAAACTTAAGACTGTCAGTGTATGATGACTTAACAATTGTTGTTGTTTTAACAATACAGCATTAATACTTTTAACATTAATTGAATAATGGATTTATATTTTCTGCCAGCTTTCTGTCTAAATATATAGTTGTTCATAGTTTGTATATTAAAATTTTCTTCACTCAACTTCCAGCAAAAAAGAAACAGAACACTAGGCTGAATTGTTAATACAGTTGTCAAATAATGTTTGTGTCTATCATATTTGTGTCAGTCCAAGATTTTTCTGTATTTCATTTAGGAGTCCTCTACTGCAGCTAGGGCAGTGTCTAATGCAAGATTTGGTTGGAACAGAACATCTTCCCCTTTAACTTCCTCTAGACTGGAAAAACTTCTTTTCTTGTCTCTCAACGATTCGGGAAGATTCTGTAAACTACGTCTTGTAGATCTCCTCACTGGGGTAACCACCTGACACTGACTTGGTGTGTTTACTTTTTTATGGGAAGACCTCTTTCTGATAACACAAGAAAAAACATAATTTAATTACATATGTCTTATTTTGACTAAACTAAATAGCCTGTTTTATTGACGTTAGTCAAGGCAATTGCCAATCACTGTACATTTGCTAAAAGAAGGAATTATGAATGCAATGCTAATTAATGGCCTGCTTCCATTTTCATTATTATTATTATGTTATTTTATATGTATTTTTAGAACACTTTTTCTTATTTTAAACAGATGAAAATGTGCAACGCTATGTGTATAAAAGTTTGATTGGAATACTCAAAGTTTAATATCAAAGGAACAATTCCGGATAGTGACTTTATATCGAAAAGATCTAAAATATGGACCAAGAGACAATAAAATTTTACGAAAAGCTTCTAATGTGTTACATGTACTTCATACAATTTTCATTCTAACAACTGCCTCATACCATGAAGGTAGAACTTTTAAAATGTACATAAATAGGTTTATGACAACATTGTTAGTGTTCAAAGGCAAACTTTTCAGCTTTACTTATGAAGAAAGACCTAGGAAACTCTCCATAAAGTCTTCATCAACTTCTCCCCAAAGTTAGCAAGATTATCTAAGACTGACTTACACACACAGAATTAATCACCCTTGTTGGTATTTAAAGTTTGGTTTGTTTAATTGGGTTAAACGTCACACCAACACATTATAGGTTATATGACAACGTTCCAGCTTTACTGGTGGAGGAAGACCTCAGGTGTCCCTCCATGCATTATTTCAGGCAAGAACTGGCACCCGAGTAGAACCACCGAAAAGTTATAGAATTGAGAGGCATACAAAATCAAGGTCACAAGCTGTAACCATTTATACATGATAATTCTCAATAAATTGAACCTAGGAGAAATGCATCTTTTTCCTGGTCATTTCTATACTTTTTGACTAAGACAAATTAACCTATTACACATATAATAGAACTTCACTGACTCATATATTCTTTTTGATGATAGTCTGCGTAATTAAGTTAGCTAGGAATTTTACGATGTAAAATATCAAGGAAAGTTTTATTTTATGAGCAGTGTGTAAGAAATATAAACCTTTTAACAAACTAGAACTCCGCGAGTCGGTTGTGTCGCCTTGTGAACAATGTAGTTTAGGGGAAATGGCCAGGACAAAAATGAAATATGAAAAATAACAATGGGCAATAACTAAACAAGAGGGCCATGATGGCCCTAGATCGCTCACCTGAATTATCAAACTCATCCAAACAATTACCTAGACAAGCATTCTGACCAAGTCTCATGACAGGTGAGTCAAAAATGTGACCACTACAGTGTTAACAAGGATTATCCATATTTGAGCAGTGCGACCTAGTTTTTTACCCAGGTGACACATATTCAAACTTGACCTAGAAATCATCAAAACAAACTTTCAGACAAATTTCCAGGATACTTGGATCAAAACAGTAGCAACTAGAGTGTTAACAAGATTTTTCTATTTTTAGCTCCGGTGACCTAGTTTCACATGCGATTTCGAACTAATCCAAGCAATTACCTAGACAAGCATCCTGACCAAGTTTGATGATAATCGAGTCGAAAATGTGACCACTAGAATGTTAACAAGGTTTTTCCATATTTGGGCGGTGTGACCTAGTTTTTCATCCAAGATGACCCATGTTTGATCTTCACTTAGAAATCATCAAAAAAAACTTTCAGACCAATTAACAGAATATTTGGATCACAACAGTAGCCACTAGAGTGTTAACAAGATTTTTCTATTTTTAGCTCATGTGACCTAGTTTTTCATCCGAGATGTCCCATGTTCGATTTATTCCAAGCAATGACCTATTCAAGTTTCCTGACCAAGTTTGATGACAATTGAGTCAAAATTGTGACCACTAGAGTGTTAACAAGGTTTTTCTATTTTTAGCTCCTGTGACCTAGTTTTTCATCCGAGATGACCCATGTTCGAACTCATCCGAGCTATCACCTAGACAAGCATCTTGATCAAGTTTGATGATGATTGATGCAAAATGTGACCGCTAAAGTGTTAACAAGGTTTTTCTATTTATAGCTCCGGTGACCTAGTTTTTCATCCGAGATGACCCATATTCGAACTCATCTGAGCTATTATCTAAACAAGCATCCTGACAAAGTTTGATGATGATTGGGTCAAAAATGTTACCACTAGAGTGTTCACAAGGTTTTTCTATTTTTAGCTCCTGTGACCTAGTTTTTCATCAGAGATGACCCATGTTCGAACTCATCCAAGCAATTGACTAGACAAGCATTCTGACCAAGTTTGATGATGATTGGTTCAAAAATGTGACCACTAGAGTGTTCACAAGGTTTTTCTATTTATAGCTCCTGTGACCTACTTTTTCATCCGAGATGACCCATGTTCGAACTCATCCGAGCTATCACCTAGACAAACATCCTGACCAAGTTTGATGATGATTGGGTCAAAAATGTGACCTCTAGAGTGTTCACAAGGTTTTTCTATTTTTAGCTCTTGTGACCTAGTTTTTCATCCGAGATGACCCATGTTCGAACTCATCCGAGCTTTCAACTAGATAAGCATCCTGACCAAGTTTGATGATGATTGAGGCAAAAATGCGACCGCTAGAGTGTTCACAAGAAATTGTGGACGGCCGGACGGACGACGGACGACGGACATTCACCGATCCTAAAAGCTCACCCTGAGCAAGCTCAGGTGAGCTAAAAAATAATAAGTGCAGAGCAGCAGTTTCTGTACACTGCACTTTTTATCAATAAGATCTATCATTCTATGATGTTTCAAGTCCATAGCTTTCATACTTGAGGAGAAATGACCAAGACAAAAATAAAGTAAGAAAATCAACAAAGGGTAATAACTCAAAAATAAGAAATGCAGAGTATCAGTTCTTATGCACTGCACTTCTTTTTAATGAGATCTATCATCCTATGAAGTTTCAAGTCCATAACTTTTATACTTTCGGAGAAATGGCCTGGACAAAAATTAAGTATGAAAATTAACAAAGGACCATAACTCAAAAATTAAGAAATGCAGAGTACCCATTCTTGTGCACTGCACTTCTTAATAATGAGATCTATCACCCTATGAAGTTTCAAGTCCATAGCTTTTATACTTAAGGATAAATGGCCTGGACAAAATTAAAGTATGAAAATAAACAAAGGGCAATAACTCAAAAAATAAGAAATGCAGAGTACCAGTTCTTGTGCACTGCACTTCTTCTTAATGAGACCTATCATCCTATGAAGTTTCAAGTCCATGGCTTTTATACGTTAGGAGAAATGGCCTGGACAAAAATAAAGTATGAAAATTAACAAAGGGCAATAACTCAAAAATTAGGAAGTGCAGAGTACTGGTTCTTTGCACTGCATTTCTTCTTAATGAGATCTATCATCCTATGAAGTTTCAAGTCCATAGCTTTTTTAGTTGAAGAGAAATGGCCCGGACAAAATTAAAGTATGAAAATTAACAAAGGGCAATAACTCAAAAAATAAGAACTGCAGAGTACCGGTCCTTGTGCACTGCACTACGGGTTATTGAAAGAAGCATGCATACTAAGTTTGAAGTCAATCAGACTTATAGTGACTGAGTTATGCTCCGGACAAGCTTTAAGGGACGTCGACAACGACGCCGACACAGACGCCGCCGACAAAAGTAACCCCTATATGTCACCTTTTCAAGGCGACACAAAAAGGCAAAGGCAGTGAATTACAGTAGTATAGAATTAAAGCTTACTAACCCTTCACTAAATGGGGTAACATTTGATACTGTGTACACAACTGCTGAAGATTCAAAAACATTTTCTGCCTGAACCTCAGATCTACGTGGTGTACGACATCTCCGCCTTGCCTCCTTCACTTTACCCTCCGTCACATACTTCAGAGTCTCCGTCAAACATTTTGCAATATCTTCTTTTGGCTGTAAAAATATACATTAGTGATATTTAATGCAATTTGACAAATGACATTTAAAAGGCGTCAATCTAACATGGAACAAAGGATAACATTTAACCACATAAAGCAATTGCTAAAAGTCAATCTTAAATCTTAAAAATCTTAAACTGAAATTAACTGTCAATACCTTGAATATATGGTAAAATTCCTGTCCATCTCAATCAAACAATTAATTTAGAATGACCAATACTTTTCTAAGAATGTCCCCATTATGGTTTAAGGGAAGAAACTCTAGATACAGGTAAAGAAATGGATCACTGTATTTTATTCTTGCAACATTAAAGTTCATTCTGTTTTCTATACAGCTTGATCATAGATTATTTTCAACTGTGGTCATACCATGAATATGGTATGTAACATATTACCAGAATACAAGTACTAGCAGCATAATATTGCTATGAACATGCCAATTTGTGTATTGTGTCTTACAAAATCACGGGACGCTTTATTTTTATGGAATTGTTTGCCTTATCGTCAAATGCCTAGTGGACCAGATCTAGTCCAAGCTTTATCCATGTTTAAGAATAATACTGTTGACACCCTGTATTTTTGTTTTCCGTTTGATCATATTAATCTTTAGCTCCATTTTGAGACCGATTTTAGCTTTTAACTCTCTGTATTTATTGAGATATACGAGTTCCAATTTGGCTTCACCTTTTACCACTATATGTTTTTGGTAGGAAGTGACATCACAAGTACTGGGTTGCGCTCCCCTATTCTATTTAAGCTACTACTCAGTTGACCAAGCAGACGTAAGAAATGTACTCCTATCAGGAGGTTAGTACCCAAATATAATTATAAACTATTAACGGTTAACCTGTCACTGATCTGGGATCCTTATACAATTTTATATAACTCTTAAGTTGGTATTATAAACTTAACTTGAACCCATTTTTAGAACTGGAACTTGACTGGATCCTAACTTGACCCAATCTGGTAAATCTATAACTAACTTTACTTGGAACTCGGATATTTTACCATAGTACTAGATCTACATATATATGTTTCTCTAATAAGCTCAGTTGTTTACTATAGAACAGTCTAGTTAAAGCCAGATTATCTCATATTGTATGTCAATAATTCATGAATAAACTATGAAGAACCAATAATAAAATCAAAGATTGAACTGGAACATGTCTTATTAATCTCTCAGTAGGTAGAACCAAATACAACTCCCACACATGTTACTGTCCCCTTATTATTGCCTGCCATATTTAAATCCTGACTAGCCTTAAGCTAACACCCTTTTCTCACCTTTAAGGGGGCAATATCCTGCTATTGGTACCCTTAAATATAGCATATTCTGCAAAGTATGGCCACAATGATTTTACACCATGGTAACGTTATGGTTATACAATGAATGTTAAATGCTAGGCAAGTTTTGAGATTAATCCCATAGACTCCCAAAAGACCTAGTGGTATATCTAATTGTGCTATTGTCTTTAAATTTTCATCCTGAATTAATTCAAAGATTACTAGGCAGTAGTATTGATCCACTGTCCTTGATTTTGGAAAAGAATTATATAATTCATTATTGAGTCTACACTTAAATGTTATATCTGTTCTTTCACATTTGAATGGAGCTGATTTACTTGGAGCTTTCCATACACGTAATATGTTGTTAAATTCTTAAAGGAACTCCACCGAGGCTTTTTGACATGACTGGACTGGAAATAGTTTTTCAAAATTGTTTCATCTGATTAAGGTCTAGACTAATCTCTTGTGTGCAAAATTTCACATCATTTGCTGACTGGTTTTTCAGAATAAATTTTCTAATTGTAAAGAATAACTAAAATTTGAAACCGTTACAACGCTTTTCACTCAAATCAGGCTAAGAATAACAAAAATACAATTTTCAAATTATTTCTTGTTTATTTATCTTTATTATCTTTTGCATATCTTTCTGTTTTTAATGTCCCAGTTAATCCATGTAAGATATTCATATTTTAAGCCTCAGTGGAGTTCCTTTAATAGGTATTTTTTATTTTGATAACAAGTATTGCTAACATTTGATAACAAAAATGCATTCATTCAAACCTGTGCATTATTAATGGTGGCTTGCTCAAAGATTTCCAATACAGCATCAAGATCCAGACTTGATTTGATCACATTTGCCTTGCATGTATAAAAACGTGCTGAGTTCTGTGCAAATGGTATCTGCTTGTAGATGTCATCCAGCCATGGTACGATAGCTTCCATAGGGCAACCCTATATAATCATTAAAAAATCTTAATAAGTTTCCTGTAATCTATTGTAGAACAATAAAGTTAAATATATGTTAAGAAAGTTTCCTGGAGTAAATTGCTCACAAGAGTGATGGTCTTTTTTTATAAACATTGAATTCATTAAGACATATGTTTAACAAAAATATGTTTTTGATTTTAGGATATTAATTGATGTTAGAAAATATAAACTATTTATAAAAGGTCTCTCGGACATGACATCAAAGTATAATATATAACAATAATTTACTCACAGCTTCAAACAGTATCATACATTCATCAAGCATAGAGTTCATCTTTTTCTCAGCTTCTAACTGCAGTCTCTCCTGTTCCAGAACATCCATCTATTAATATAATAATAATTGTCATAATGAAGTAAACACTGAAATGTTATACATATATCTTTGTTTATATTATGAATTTTGTTTTTTTAGATTTTGTAATGGTTAAGTTAGCCAGACATTGTTACAGTTAACTAACCACTTTCCTGGTTTTTATCTGTTACATTATACATAATGAGACGAGCAATTCAAGACAAGCTTGTGGTTATCATTTTGAAAGGGTTGTCTTTTTTTTGGTCCACAGTACACAGTATAAATAATTGATATATAAAACAACAGACATAAGACTTTTAACAGTCCTTATGTATTTAAATGGTCTTAACACGTTATGAAAATTAATTTATGTAATTTTTATGAAATATCAACAACAATACATGTATATGGTTTTAAAATTAACACCTTACTTATTGATCAACCAGCCAACACAAAACCATATACAATCAGTTGTTGTTTGTATTGTTACATTATGTCCCAGCTTTTACTCACTAAAATATATCTGTATGGTTCATCTGTGCCACAGTTCCTTAAGACTTTCATATTCACCCTGCCACAGACAGCCCTTAAAGGGACTCTACTAAAGTTTTTTGCCATAACAGGATTGGACATATTTTTCTGAGATTTGTGTACCATTTGAAGTTGGTCTAGACCAATAACTTATCTGAAAAATTCCAGATCATTCCCTTACTCTAGATAGGATTTTTTAATGCATGTGAAAACTGAATTAAAACATACTTTATGATTGACACAGATGCAGCAATCATGTTAGAATAAAAAAGTGTCTGAGATCTGGCAAGTGCAGGGCAAGAATTGAAGTTGAGGTCAGAGTCTGACCCCTGAGTATCAGTGGCTTAAAACATCTTGTCAAATAAACAAATTTAAACCTGTTCACTCAATTCTTGTACAGTGAGCATGTTTTTAGTGTGTGGATCTTCTGACTTCTCATCTTCCGGTTTCTTACCATGGAAACACATGAGATGTCGGAACTTACTTGGGGTCTTCCCTTTTGCTTTCAGCCAGTCCTTCAACTCTTCACTAAAATGTAGTTACAACATTAAAGATTAACAAGAGCACTGTGTGTGGTATTTACGCTCACCTGTTCAAATTTTAATTTAAAAAGGGATATAACTCCAAAAATATTGCTTTCAAAATTATGCCCCTTGTCTAACAACAGCAACTTGTCATGAAAAGCAAGTATTCAAAGTTTCATGTTAATATCTTTCAAAATGTTTGAATAATGGGCTACATTAAAGTTTTTGCACAAAGACAATAACACAGCAATCATAATAGCTTGACTTTTCTATTGAAACAGATGTATGCTTAAAAATATCTTCTCTAATTTCTTTAAAGTTTAGTATATGTACAAAACTACAGAATTACTTTTATTCAGTAAAACATGTGGTACAGATGTTTTGTATTATTAAAACCAAATTGGAATGTTTATTTAGCTAATACCTAAGCCGTTACCATAACTTTTCTATGATCAGAAGAAAACTTGGAACATGGAATACAACTATTAGTTACTATTACATCCAATATATGTTTAAATGAAGTCAAGGAGAGGGCATTCATGTATTACATTGTAGAAATAATTAAAATATATTTCAACCAATAAAAGGGGGCAGGAAGTAAATGCAAAATTTGTTGGTTATATGTTTAAAATTGAATCATATTTCATTAATGAAGTGTAGCATTTTCCACTCAAGGCTATACATCACTCATAAATGTAAATGATGCATCCATGCTCACTGAGAGAATATATCTCTCATACCAATATACTCTTAATAATATTTTCAAACCCTGATGAAGATCTACGAGTGTCAAAAACATCAGAGGGCAAATCAATAAACAAACCTTAAAATTTAACCGGTGTTGTTTGTTTCACTTTTATATTAATAATTTAATATTATCTAGTATCCTCTTTCTTATATTGATTAAAAATTTATATAATACAGATACATGTACAGCTTTATTTGAAAATAAATTTAGAAAATAAATAAAATATAGTAACCTTCTTGTTGCTGGTGTTTTGGGGGTTTTCCTCAGCTTTTTTCCATCAGTATGAGAATGGTTGTTTTGTGGTGTAGAAAACCTCACATTACGTGTAGAAACTCCTGGAGTTACCACAGATATGGGCAACTGTTTACATGTGGTGTCACTCTCAGTTTGACATGGAGACACATTTCCCACAAACACATCATCATTATTGTCTATGGTATTAATATTATCTGTATTAGAAACTGAAGTACGCCTTCTTTTAGCAGGAGATCTACCATCATTTTTGTCAGTAAGATCAAAAGATCCAATGCAGGACTTTCTTTTAAGAATTCCCACTGGTTTTTGTTGTCCTTTGTTAACTTTCTGTACTTCAGAGAATCGTCTTTTAACCCCTGTTTTGGAAATTTCTGTCTTGTGTGTTGCAGGTTTTGAAACAAATTTGTTTTCTTTGTTAACTTGTCTTTTATCTGCGCTGCTCTGTTGTTTGGGTTTAGACTGATAGTCAAATAACCTTGACCTCACGACCTTACATCCTGCTTGTACATGAGACTTTGGCACTTCTTTACCTTTAACAGTACTTTTCTGGATTCTGAATCAAAAATTTAACAATGCACATATATAAATATAACATTACAATTTGATTAGGCAAGACATTTTATATTATACAAAGCTTTCTATAACTTAACATCATGTTTAAATTACCTACATTTGTACTTATTTTGTACTAAAAGGTTAGGTTCTGTACACTTCTACTTTGCCATTGTATAAAGATCATTCCTTTACTCTTCTACTTTGCCATTGTATAAAGATCAATTCTGTACTTTTCTACTTTGCCACTGTGTACAAAACCTGGTGGCTGGAATAAAGCAAACTTTACCTGTCCTGCTGGACACCTTGTTGGTGGTCCTGTGTTGGGGGATACGTTCAATAAATGCCACATCCTTCCTTGTTGATCTTGTTTGTCATATTTTAACAACTTTAAGATTCATTGCCTAGTAAAAGGTGTCTATTTAGATGGAATACTTGTAAAATAAATTGGTGCTCACAACAAAATATTTCATTACAATGACAAACTATACTGTACTTACATTTTCTTTGCACTTTTCTTTTCTTCTCGCCATTTATTCAATTTTTCCCTGAAACACAAAAAGATCCATCAAAATCAAGTTATTATGAACAAGAGATGTTTGTACATGATAACCCACCTACTGGGTACAAATTTGTCAAATTCATCATAGACTTTTCTTAACTGGAAAATTTTAGATAAGGAAAGTGAGTTAACATGGTAATATTGACCTTGATATTTTGTCCTCATTGTAATGCACTGGTGAATATTAGCACCATTTACCGTACATGACTTATGTTTACGTACAAAGACCTGCTTAATTCAGTAATTTGTGTAAATAGGAGGTAATCCAATAATCATGTCCAGTCTGTAATTAAATCATAGAACTGTAGGTCTAAGCGTTCTTAAGTTATTGGTCAAACTTTTAGTGAAGAACTTTTCATTAATTTTATCTAGGTGAGAAATATGATCTAGTGATTTCAGGACTATAAAATAATTAAACCACATCATCATGGTCTGAAATAATTCTTACTGCCCTTAAAACTGATATACAAAACAACATGTTAACAAGACAAATTAGTTTACTACCTAAAATGGTTTCACGCTTAATATCAAAGTTCAGAAATTAACAATATTGAACCTACAATAAAAACATAAATGAAGAAAACAGAAACACACTAAATATACTAACATCAGCTGCCTAGTTTCTTCAGATTTTCTTCTCTTCTCCACTTTTGCAGCCACTTTCGGCGCTTTTGTCTTTGTTCCAAATATTCTGAATTAGAAGAACAGCATTTTCTGCATATACATTAAAAAACAAGAGCCCGGTTTGAGCCGGGTGATGCTCCCCCAATAGGTTTTGGACACAGGAAAGTACACCTCTTGAAGTTTCAGAGTTATGTCCATGGAAAAAGTTCAAAGTGCAATAATTCCAAAATTAGGAAAGGCAGAGTTACTGTTCTTTGCACTGCACTTCTAATCACTGTTATCTATCAACTTACCAAGTTTCTTGTTGATATCTCTTATGGTTTCCGAGTTATGTTCCGGACAACTTCAAAAACTAAAAATAAACAAAGGGCAATAACTCCAGAATTAGGCAAAACAGAGTTATGATTCTTGTGCACTGCACATCTACCCATTGAGATACATCTACCTACAAAGTTTCATGTTGATATCTCTTATAGTTTTACAGCTATGTCCAGTACAAGATTTTTCTTAAAGGGGAGATAATTCAAAAATGAGGCTTAACAGAGTTATGGTTTTTTTGCACTGCACTTCTACTCAATGAGATCTATCTACCTACAATGTTTCATCTTGATATCTCTTATAATTTTAGAGTTATGTTCCGGACAAAGTTCACTGTTAAAATTAACTTAGGGCAATAACTCCAAAATTAGGACAAAAAGAGTTATTGTTCTTATGCACTGCACATCTACCCTTTGAGATCTATTCACCTACAAAGTTTCATGTTGATATCTCTTATAGTTTAAGAGTTATGCCCCAGACAAGATTTTTCTATAAGGGGAGATAATTCAAAAACCGGGCAAAATAGAGTTATGGTTCTTTGACACTGCACATCTACCCATTTAGATCTATTCACCTACAAAGTTTCATGTTGATATCTCTTATAGTTTTAGAGTTATGCCCCAGACAAGGTTTTTCTATAAGGGGAGATAATTCAAAAATGAGGCTTAACAGAGTTATGGTTCTTTTGCACTGCACTTCTACTCAATGAGATCTATCTACCTACAATGTTTCATCTTGATATCTCTTATAGTTTTAGAGTTATGTTCCGGACAAAGTTCAAAGTGTTGAAATTCACAATGGTTCTTTGACACTGCACTCCCCCTCAATGCCCTCTACCACTGTATGAAGTTTAAACAAATTATCTCCAAGGGTTTTCAAGTTATGCTCCGGACAAGAAAACGGACGGACAGACGGACGGACGGACGGACAAGGCGCCGACTATATGCTCCCCCGAAATTTTTCGGGGGGCATAAAAAATGTTTTTTAGAAAATAGATAAAATTTATTACACAGTACTATAATTTAAAAATATAAGATGAAGGACCATCAATTTTGCACACATCACAATCTTAAATATTTATGCCAAGTTAAATAACAATCCCTATATGTATGAATAATGACGCTTCACTATAGGCAAGTGTTTCCTTCTAACCTCTGCGAAATATATTGTTCTATTATGCAGCCTTTTGATGTTAACATTTTTTCTGTAATCCCTCAATCAAAGACTACAAATTTCAGACTACAGTTTCATGTTGTTTTTTTTCTGGCCTATAACCTCTAAAAAAGTATGACCTTGACCACCAGGACTTGAGTTTTGCTTGCAAAACACCAACTTACAATGGTGAAATTTGTCCAAGAGTAAATTAAAATCACTCAATGCAACACAAGTAAAAGTTAAGCTTGGGGCAAGATTTTTCCTTTGACCTCTAAATGTTACATTTGATTGACCTTTGAGTGCTTTGACCTAGGGAACAGTTTCGCATGTGGGACACTTTGTCTCATGGTTTTGAACATTTGAGGCAATTAATACTTAAATCTTTTCCATGCATGTAGAAGATATACTCTGGACAAAGCTGATTGTTGCTAGCATGCCTCCTTTCAGCCCACCTGCCTGCAACCAAGGGCTATCCTATTATATGACCACCCTTTTTAATGAGCATATAAAAAGGGGGAATACTGAGAATGCAACAAAGCCACTTAGTTTCTTGAATTCTTAATTCAATTGCAATTTAACATGCAATGTACATAGGCGATCTATAGTAACAGCTTTTTGTCTTGGTTATGATGACAAAATGGGGCAAGGCATTTTAGAGGAAAATACAGCTTGGAATCCATATATTTGGCTATCCCATATTTTCAAAATGTCACTAATAATCTTATAATTACAGTACTGAATATTTTGCCAGAGACACACATTTTAACTTCACTCAACTTTAAGTCAAACAGAGGGAGGAAAAAGCACGTTGAGCATCAACTTATTGATACATGGAACCTATAGGCTATACTCATTTAATATCTTCTAAATCATAAATATTGGATTGAATACTTAAATCACAATTCCTTTTTATTTATTAATTTATTATGTCACTTTATTTAAATGATCAAGTCTTGTTCTCTACATCTACATTATACTGCTTCAAAATCGTAATTGATTACACTAAGCAGGTGCGTTGTCTGGGAATAGCTGTTAAAAATAAATATGTTAAGTGCAAATTTATAGACACAAGGTAAAAGGAAGTTAAAAAGAACTACAAGACTAAGATAAAAGTTAAAAACAAAGCTGGCTTAGAACTGGTAAAAAGGATGCATCTGCCCAGTAAAGAGGTCTTAACTGGGACTAGCTTCAGTAGCTTTGAAAAGGACACGGGCAGGCCATTGTTGCACTGTAAGTTCTGTAATCTATTTTTGGCATTTGAATGGTTGTTACTCAACCAATTCATTGAAAATAAAGTAAGCTTAAATACCCAGTTTTTATCTGTGTATCTGTACTTTTGCATGACTGTTTGGGTCTCTCTATGGTTGTTACACATGGCTTAACAGTTTTTACACATGGCTTAATTGTTGCTTTAACTGGGCTCTGCTTCACTTGACTTGCTTTCACTTGACCTGCTTTAACAATAACAGGCAATGTTGTTTCTTTCTTAGACCTGAAATAACAAACAAATTCGTTGAATTGATATTCCCCTGCCGTTATGATACATATCACTTAACTGAAGCCTTTCAGGGATCTGAGGTACAATGTCTGCATTGAATGATTTTTGCAGTATTAAATTACTAATAAAATACTGTTACATTCATATTTTTGATGATTTTTATAAAAAAAACTTATAAAATGGAAAATAACATTTAGACAAATTTTAAAGAAAATGTTACGATTTAAATTTAGGTCACTCACATATGGGTAGGGGTTGCAGTGAATTGTTAAAAAAAAGTATACTGTACTCCTCTTTGTTTACATTACTTAAGGCTCTGAAACATTTAAAGAAAGAAGATCATAATTTATAAAATTGAAATTACTAGATCTGTAATTTCTTTCAAAGAGCTCGCTTTGAGGCTCTGCATTATTCATATTAAAAATGATTTTATTATTAAAATGTGATTTATATTTATGTTCTTATTGTACCTGAAAGGGAAATTCAACAATAAACTACAGGTAGACACTGGAAAATTAACTTATATTTTTTTCAAATATTTGTTTTGAAAATTTGTGTTTTACATTTTTGGAGTCTGCAATCTTTACTTTGTCACACTTGATGGTATTTGACTATTGATGGTATACAAGTAACATAATCACAGATATATACACAATGGATACAGTGTTTTTTTTTCACTTTTGGGGGAAGGGGTTGGTGCCCTTTGGAGGGGGAAAATTGCAAAAGGAGGGGGAATTTTTTTTGTTTATTTATTTCATATTGTTTACTTTCCGGTTGAAAAGGGGAGCAACTCTTGCAACACAAGTTTAAGACACGTCGCTTTTTTTTAATATACATATCTAAAATATCAATGCGTCGCTTGTTTAACTTGTTTTGGCGCCAGGAGTAGTTTCTCTTACCTACCCAAAATCGATTTGTAAACAACCTTGCTTAACAGTAAGTCTTTCAGGCATAAAATAAAACATTTTTCGGCATTTAGTTGCAAAATAAGAATAATATTCATTGCAAACAGATTCGGGCTGCCTTATAGGGGGAAATTTAAGCTTTGAGGGTGGGAAAATCATAGTATTTTGAGGGGGGACCCGGGGCCAAATTTCGCCGAATATGTTGGTGAAAAAAACATTGGGACAGGAAGCTCCGAGAATAAGACGATAGTCAGATTCAGACACACAATTCTTTGCTCACTTCTGTGACAATCGGGTTTTCAGAAAACGCTTGTCTCCAATTTTCGCGCTATCATTAAACTTTGGCGATATCCGTGAATTATTATCTTATTATATTGTCATCATGGACAGAACATGGAGCTTAGTTGTATCTATATATCTGTGACATGGATTTTCATCATGGAAAAGTGTGTATTGTACCTGGGACATAAGATCCCAGATTGTACGTTTTAGAATAAATAACAATTGTTTCTGAATATATAAGTAGAAAATGCCTGGTCTTCTTGTCGATGTACCTCTGGGAATTCAATATGGCAATATTTTGGCTACTTTTATCCAGGATGCATCTTGGAAAATCCTACAACATATGATAACTTGGCTGAACAGGCCCTTCACATTCTGTTAATAATCTGATAATAGCTGAGGGCGTGAGGCAGTATAGTCCAACTAATTAGACTTGTCAAAGAGACACCGAGATAATTTTGGACGGGCGCTGTCTTTTTCCAAGTCCAACCACGAACTGCATTTTTATGCACGGACGCTTCCCAATTAGAAGTTGTTGGGAGCGAAAACTAGAAAAGTTTCAAAGAAACGGTATACATTACCTGAACGAGAATCGTTTTTTATGCAAGGTTCCAAATTATCATACTTCAAAGTCGAACAGAAGTCTAAATATTTCCACTTTAATTTTTTAATCGTTGAATGTTTATTGAAAGCGGCCATATTGGAAAAGCGGTGTCATGGTAAAATCCATGGTGTAACACAAGGTATCGGCGGCGATCGATTGTATTTGCCAAGCTTTATTATACAATTTGTTTATGTTATTTATATGAATTATTGCAGGAATAACTCTTTTATTCACACACAAATATTTCAGCATTAAAAAGAGAATGTGAAAAAAAAATTCTGATAACCTTACTTACAAATTAAAATAGTTTATGATGTCAGATCATACTGCATTTAAGTCCGTTTAAATTGTCAAAATTAGATATTATTAAGTTGGATTTTTTAACATCTGTGATTCATTAGGTGAAATTTCTGAACTACCTTTTTATTTTATAACCCTGCCATGATTTTCCACATACGAAAATACAATGTAATTGTAGGTACATCTTAATGAATTATAATTATACTATACATGATGAAGCAAAGAAGAATTTCAATTTATATTACACTCCATATCATTTCTAGTTTATTATCTTTAAAAGAAATTGAGGACGGTTGTGAAGGGGAAGAAGTTCAAAACAACCAAAAAATAACTTTAAAATTCCGAAAAAAAAATCTTAAAATTTCAATCTATAAAATGGAATTTCAGACAGTCCTCAGTAAAATACAATTGTCGCACAGATTTGACGGGTTTATGATAAAAACGCAAGCAAGAGGAAATTTAGTGACCGTTTATTTAGACGTTGAATAGCATAACAATGTAAGACAGATGGGAGAAATGTGTTAGAACGACTGTCGCAAAAGGACACAAAACCTTCTTTGATACCCATTAAAAAATTCATGTTGTCTAGTTCCCGTTTGAACGGCACCTCGAATGTGTGTCACATTGAAAGTTCCATGATTACCGCCGTATTATGTACACATTTGTGGATGTTGATTAAAAATTTCAACATTATTATGTTTAAGTGGTCAATTCTGTTTTAAACCGGCGAAAGGGAGCACTTGCACCTACCAGAGCCGTCTTTGGCACTCTTGTGTATTTATGTTTTCGATTTTGCAGTTTCAGGCGTTTTTGGTGGTTTTTTTTTTTCGAGGGTGGATACATTAATGTGGATAAGTTTTTTCTGTTTCTTTACATTTCTTTGCTTGCTTGCCGAACCTTGTATTGATAATCATTATCTGTTTGTTACGGTTCGGTATACATGTATACAATATGATAAACAAGATGAACAAGGAAAGGCGGCGTTCAATGAACGCAACTCCCACACGACCAGGAACATGAACCATTGGCAAGGAGCCCAGGATGATTCTAAATTAAAACGGGACAGGGCGCAAGGGAGAGCACGGTCAGGCTTATCACTAAAATGTAACTGAGAAGGAAATCAAAGAATAAATAATGAATGATTAATAGGACCACTAAGTTAACGAGCACAGGGGAAGGGGATAGGAAATTCGGGGAGGGGGCGAAATAAAAGAAATAAAAACTAGGGGCAAAGGGAAGATACTTACCAAAGACGAGAAAACAACAAGGGACACAAACAAAAGTGTCACCAAAACAGTATGAAACAGGACCACTAAGTTAACAGGCACAGGGGAAGGGGATAGGAAAATTCGGGGGAGGGGGCGAAATAAAGAAATAAAACTAAGGGCAAAGGGAAGATACTTACCATAGACGAGAAAAAACAACAAGGGACACAAACAAAAGTGTCACAAAACAGTATATGAAACAACAAGACATACACCTTATACATTTATAAGTCTTAATTGTTCATTTGAAAAATCTGATCTTCTCAATGACTTTTTTTTTAATATCCTATATAAAAGATTTATTTCAATTAAAATATGTGACCCTTCTTTTATAGTTTAACACAGCATATGGCTGGGATCACAATAAAGTTCCTTTTTAGTAAATTAATAAAGTATGTCAAGAAGACATTTAAACTTTATCAATAGGTTTAATATGGTATTATACATCGGCAATCGGTGAAAAAGAGGCTCTTGAAATATTATTTGTACAATACTGAATGATTTGAAGTGTATTTTAAATAGTTTCCTTCAATATTCTTTTACGTTCTTAATTGTCATATAAATATCCATGTATAATAAAGTCAGTATTTTTTATCCGAGAGTGACATTTGGCAGTCATTAGCAGTAAACAAGAAGGCAAAAACCACCAATTGATAAATGTTGAGTACATGTATTAAAAATATTTAAAAAATATCAAACAACAGACATTGCATTTTTAGGTTAAATACATGATACTTTTCAATAGTATTTAATAATGCACACATTTATTAAAAAATGATGAACAGATTTATTTCCCCCGATATTTTGTTTAATTTAATCTTCATGCGTAACCCACACTTACCTGCTAGACACACTGGTAGCTACTACCAGCTTTCACGGAATCGATTTTTTACGATGACGTCATAACATGTCCGCCGAAGATAGAGTAGACAGTACAAATTTGAAATAAATCGCATGTATGCGTTAAGACAGGTACAATCTAATATTTTTTCTAGGAGAAGTTAGTACTAAAATTTATATTCTATTGATCTTTAGAGGTAATTGAAGTTACTTTCAGGTTTAAGCAGTAAAAATCAGTCCAAACTATCGAAAGTGTTGCCGGTAGATTTTCCGTGCGTAAAAATGACAGTTAAAATTAGGCGTAACGGTTTGACAGTAAGAAAAAAAAGTCTGTAAAATGGGTCAAACCGATCACGCCGAATTAATTAGGCTAGAGGCAGTAAAGTGTGATTAAAAAAATCCAAACCAATATAAAAAGTTTTTTTGTATAGGTATAAATCTTTTTAATTGGACTTTACTGCTACTGATACAATTTGACAGAATTTCAAGGTCCTGTGTTTTGGTTTTAAGTTAGCTAGCAGTAGGTACTAGGTCCTCACTTAGCACTTACACACTTTTCTGTTTAATTTTCTGTCTTTCTTCCTTCTCTTTTATTCTCTGTTCTCTCCATTTCTGCACCTTTTCCAAATAGAGCTCTGAAAAGAGATGCATAACTGTTCACTTAACTGCTAAGTTATTTAAGTAAAATGTTTTTGCTCGCGAATACATGTGACATATCTATAAATTATAAAAATTATTCTTTTAGGGATTGCCGCATTCCAATTTTTTCTAAGATGCTGAGACTTACTACATATGTTCATCCTTGTTTAATTATCAAAAGGATCAATCACTGAGATTTTAATTACCTGCTTTAGTTTTCTCCATTTTTTCAACTTTTGTTTTGTTTTGATTTTAGCGCCGATGTCATATGACGAATTTGATTGGCCGTTTTCAAAAATAAAATGCGAAAGGGCTTTTAAAATGCGAAAGGGGTTTTTAAAATGCGAAAGGGATTTTTTTAAATGCGAAAGGGGTTTTTAAACGGAAAATATCATTTCATCTTTTGAAGCAAAGATAGGCCAACATTTAATAACTGTTCTAGAATATTGTACTGTAGAGGTAATATTAAACAAGGATTAAACATGATACTGACACGTTTCATGTCAATCACAATATTTCTTTCCTTTTTTCCTCCTTTTTTTTCAGATTCGGATCCACAAATGTGGAACCCCATTATTTATTATGCATAATCATACAAATATATAAAGAGGATCAGTAAAAAAAGTAAAAAAAGGAAACATGTGATATGATACAGTTTCAAAATTTTCACATTACATTTATAATTTAAAATATAATTTTGAAATATATAAATATTCGCCAGGAGAACATTGTAATACGTGGTCTAATAATTATATTATATGATATTTATAAACAGATGGTTTTGTGAGACAGTTTATACATTCATTTATATAATGTTATTTTCTCATCCTTGTCACCACAGTGCCCTCAGCTAGAAAAACCTAAACGAAAAGTGTATACGAAAAATAGATTAGGTTCCCTTGGATTATGGTTTAGAATATAATATGAAAGTATTATGTTATGTATAGTTCACATAATTAATAACATAGTAGGTAGAGTTATTAACACCATGGACAAGGATTATCTTAATTAAAATAAACCACAATACCATGTCTCCTAACGGAATAGTTTATCGACATATTTCGATTATCAGAGAATCTTTATATGTTTTAATACAATGACTTCTCATAAAGAAGGATAACTACGATAATTTACCTAACATAAGTGTTAACAAATTTACTTCCCTTTATTAGAAGAACAAAATTGCTTAGTTTTTCTTCCTAGTTTCTCAAAATACACAATTACATATTACTCTACATAAAAAGATTTAAACAAATAATATTAAAATCATCCGGAACTGTCTCCGCCTACTCTATCGTGGGCCTGAACTCAACCAGAGCACGACCTGGGGCCTAGAAGCTTCAAAGGCAACGCGCGTTCCAGGCCGTGCCAGTTGCACTCCCAACCCTCGACCCCTATTTAGGGTCGGGAGTCAGGAGCACCCCCGCCTTCACGATGAGTCAAACATGTATGTGACAGCTCCATCAATCTCAATATCAATATAATGTTGTATGTTGATGTAAAACAACATACATGTAAATGTTTGAAATTAAAGCATTTTTTACCACGCGATTCTAAATGGAAACTAGAGAGAGTAAATATCATCTGTATTGGAAGTGTAAAATATGTATGTATGTATGATGTACTGGTGGCCCGAAGCTTTTTATGCCCCCACAAAGTGGGAGCATAATAGCGTTGCACTTGTCCGTCCATCTGTCCGTCCGTACATATGTCCGTCCGTACGTTCCGAAATCTTGTGAACGCAACTCCTCTTAAACCGGATGGCAGATTTTGCTTAAACTTCCAGGGATGAACAACCTTAATGTGTAGATGGTAGGAATTTTCGCTGCGACCAAATTTAACAGAATTATGGCCCTTTGTTGATTTTTCACTATATACTATGTAGAAATTTTGTGAACGCAACTCCTCTTAAACCGGTAGGCAGATTTTGCTTAAACTTCCAGGGATGAACAACCTTAATGTGTAGATGGAAGTAAAGGAAGGAATTTTCGCTGCGACCAAATTTAACAGAATTATGGCCCTTTGTTGATTTTTTCACTATATACTATGTAGAAATTTTGTGAACGCAACTCCTCTTAAACCGGATGGCAGATTTTGCTTAAACTTCCAGGAATGAACAACCTTAATGTGTAGATGGTAGGAATTTTCGCTGCGACCAAATTTAACAGAATTATGACCCTTTGTTGATTTTTCACTATATACTATGTAGAAATTTTGTGAACGCAACTCCTCTTAAACCGGTAGGCAGATTTTGCTTAAACTTCCAGGGATGAACAACCTTAATGTGTAGATGGAAGTAAAGGAAGGAATTTTCGCTGCGACCAAATTTAACAGAATTATGGCCCTTTGTTGATTTTTTCACTATATACCATTTAGAAATTGTGTGAATGCAACTCCTCTTAAACCGGATGGCAGATTTTGCTTAAACTTCCAGGGATGAACAACCTTAATGTGTAGATGGAAGTAAAGGAAGGAATTTTTTGCTGCGACCAAATTTAACACTGTTGGACACAGTTCTAGTTTATGATGTGTCACCAAAATATATGTATTACATTATAATGAAAGAAGACAATGAGAAAAAAAACACTCTACATGTATATGACACCTCTCTGACTTTGGATGATATAGTTTATTATCATTTTTTTAACATTTAATTTCTATGTGTTTTAATGTGAGGTAAGAATATATTCAGATAATTATTCAATTGGGAGCTGTAATATTGACGAGAGTTTTATAAGGAGATCATCTAACAATAAATTATCCCACTTACTGGAAGGATATTAGATATACTTTTCTACTTTATAATGAAGAACTAACATATTATGAAAAGTTTGTATATTGAAGTTTAGGCTATTATACCTACACGTGTAAATATATCTTTTTGCAACAAGAAAAATAAAATTTAATGTTCAATCCGTTTTCTTTGGATCAGTTATACCAAAAAGAACTTTTTTTTGAGAGTTCATAATCTGTTATATTCGGACATTTAGATTTAATGAATTTTTTTAGTCTGCTAAAATTGACTAACATAACGACATTTATAAAATAGATGTAAAGTGTTTCGTTATTTTCCCTACTAAAAGAACACATATTGTCATCTATTTGTTGCTAGGATTCTATTTGGAAGTACCTTAAGTTAGTATCTGACGTAATTTTGTGAACAGTTGTATAAACTTTTTTCCATTGAAAAGTTTCGGGTAATAACAGTTCATGTTTCCATTCATCTTGAGATGTTGTGTGTTTTTTATTTATTGTTTACCAATATTTCATCAATATAATTGAGCCGTGTCATGACAAAACCAACATTGTGCGTTTGTGACCAGCATGGATCCAGACCAGCCTGCGCATCCGCGCAGTCTGATCAGGATCCATGCTGTTCGCTATCAGTTCCTCTACTTGTAATAGAGTTGGTTAGCGAACAACATTCGTGTTTTTTTTTTTGTATTTTTGTCAAGAATGTAATACAAAATAATAATATAAAGTTTAGATGGCATTTGAAAAAAATGTCAATTATACATGTAACACCTTTAATAAGTTCACGAACTTATGAATGAAAAATCGTTGTCATTTCTAAAAGTTCTAAATGTAAGTACTTTAGCAATCGATATTAAAATAAGTGAGACAAAATGATGACCGGAAATGAGAAACTTTCCATTAGAAATATTTATTTACTAAGATAAATCGAAATAATTCTGTTCGACAATTACGTTATAAAGCCGTTAAAATGTAAATTTAGTTCTCACGCAAAGGCATGACACGTTTATTTCGTTTATATTTCTGACTTTATAGAATGATGAGGATGGAAAAATCTAGATATTTGACTTTAACATTTGCACTATTTATACCATATTTTATTCAACCAGTTGTTTGTAAAGGTATGTAAATTTGTTTTATGGACATGTTATACTCTGTCAGTGGGTGGGTTGGAGGGTGGGTGATTTTGTTTTTTTGTTTTTTTTTGTTGGCGGGTTCCATTTTTGCGTATCAAATAGAAGCTAATGCATCGCATTTTAAATCTTAAAGCAATAGAACCAGTCTACAAAAAATGTTATTCAAAATACGACTAAACTTCATCGAAGTGTACAAATCGGTACAAGTATAAATCGGAAAATATCATTTATGTTACTTAACAGTACGAGCAATGGTTCATTCCGTTTTGATATTTTAAAACTGTGTAAATCGATTATTGTTTTCTGATTTTATGATCCGTAAAATAGTAACAGTGAACATTTATTAAAGCTACAATGTCACCATGCACTATTATTTGACCAAGTGAACCGTGTGACGAAACTTTAACTTTTGAACCGGTATGACTAAATTAGGCAACGGAGATTTTTTGGCGCAAATGGCACAATTTTTGCTCAAGTTTGATGTTCTTGAAATTGTGTTTGGAGGGATGCAGCTTTAGATACTGTTTATTGAAATCAAATGATATAAACATTTTTTTATGTAAATCTGGTGATTATCATACTTTTTGCCCGTTTTAGAAAATCTCTATTGCAGAAGAAATTTTTCCATATACTTACCAAAAGATAAATCGAAAATTTGATTATTAAATTTTACAAAAAAAACTTTTGTTTTGATACCACTTTTAGTATATATGAATTATTTAATCTAGTTTGATAGCATAACATAAATTGTTCCCTTTATACAGAAAAAGTATGATCCTAATGTCCATTTCTCCGGCATATAATCTTTCAAAACATTAAAAAATGAAGTGTAAAACAAACTTTCATAGTGATACTATATTCAATATATACATGCATAATTCATTCTATTTTGTTAAATAATTGTAATTTATAAAGAGTCATTGTGCCTTTGATGCAAAAATATCTCCAAATATTTTCGTATTAAACAAATCTTCCACAGCTACAAAAAGATCTCTCACATGCTTCTTTTTAAAGAAACAAACTTGTTCTATTACTGCGTGATCTAATCCCTTGCATTGTCATACGATTTATAATACCTTGCTACTTGCAATAGCTGACAGCCCTCAGTAATTTACCTACTTCTTAACGTTTAGACCAAATTAATTGAGAAAAAAAAAATAAAATGAAGATTTTTTTTTACTGTCCGTGACAATAATCAATAATTCAAAACTCTACGATTTCCAGGAAACCATTTCCACATAGTGTACTTCAGTCATGGACGCCCAGCAAATCCCGAATACATGTATATCATTATAAACAACAACTCACAAATTGCTGACGTCACGACATGCATCGCTGGCTTTCCGGATTCTACAAGGTTTGTGTCCCGTATTTTTCTTTACAAACATTGCAAAAAAGGCATGCTCCTATTATGCATTTTGTATATATCTCTAATATACAACATTGAAATAAAACAATTATGTCATTTGTACTAGTGTCAATTAAGAGATCTTATGATAATCATATAATGAATTGCTTAAGCTCCAGGAAATATGTTAGTTTTGCTCTTCTTAAAAACACGTTCGTAAACAAAAGACAGGCTGAATCTTGAGTCTGACTTTACTTCCAAAATGTACGTACTTGTATTATAACAAATGTTTTTGAACTTAATGATGTCATCAACTCGACGTTATTACAAATGAATGATGCAAAAATCACAATCATGTGCGAAACAAGTACGAATATTGTTTTCGTTTCGTGACAAAGTATTTTAATACGACAATTTAACTCAATCATTACGTTAGAACTGATTCATTATGAAATTTTCACTGTTATGTATTTACAGTAACATTTCGGTCAATGGTAATGGTGGTTACCATTTGGGAAATCTGACAAACTACTTGTTCATGTCAGACACAGTTTATGCACAGAAACATGTTATATCTTTACGATCAGATATCAATGTGACAGTGATTGCACGGAATAGTCGAAGTTATGCCCTGGATGCTTATACAGTCATTCCGGTATCGTATTCTGCATATGAATTTTACGTTACACCATATTGCTCTCAAAACACAAGTTCGCCGAGTAAATGTTTGGTTGGCATAATACCCGTAAGCTCAGACACTGAGGTCACTTTTGTCATGCCGCCCGGTAACACGGTGACATTAACGTCAGGCGACATTGCTGGTAAGAAATCATTTTACACTTATGAAACAGTGTCAGAACAACTAAACTTTGAGGATATTAAATTCATCGCAGGAAACGGCTTGGTTGGGATGAAACTGTTGGCGAACAACCCGATTCATGTTTTTGTTGGAAAATACAATAGGCACTTTTTACGATGGAAGCAATACAGACTTTACAGAAGAACAATTAATGCCTGTCAATAGATGGGGTCTTTCTTATGTTGTGGCAAGATCTTCAACTACTAAACGACCGGATTTGGATCTTAGCCTCAAAAGCAGAAACAAATATTAAGATTGTTTCAAGTTCATATACATTTGAGCAGTACAGAATGACTGACGCAGGAGAAGTGCTTGACTTTGTTATTGTTGACAAATCCTACTATATAGTAGCTGATAAGCCAATAGGTGTTACACACTTTGTTTTGCGTACGAAAGGATTGATGTATACTATGTACCGTGTTACTCCAACTGAACAATTCGTACGGGAATCCGTTACGTTTGTGGCCGGACCAACTGTTACAGGAGATAATAACATCAAATTTGCTGCGGCAGTTATATTTACTGATACGGATATAACATCATCTTTGACATATGATGGAAAAACATTGTCAAATGCTACAGAATGGGAAGAAATTCCTTATAGCGGCGTATCGTTTGCTTCTATATCTATTTCAACTCAGCAGACCCACGTGTTCCAGCAGCTTGGTTCTGGGGGCGGACTTGGTGGGTATGTGTTTGGCTATGACAAGTATGCAGTATTTGCGCATGCGCTCACACTCAGTTACAGAGATATGGAATCTGTAAGTTTTTAATGCATAAAATATACTTGCGATTATATAATTATCTGGGTTGTGAAATATGGTCTTTTTGAATTAACTATGCATATACATGTATATATACACGTGTACAATATATCTATTTTATACCATAATAAATACACGTTTGTTCTACATTTAGTTTAGATTGTAGCATGACTTATTTTGGTAATAGTAAAGAGTTTCTTTTAGAAATATAAAACAAAAATGATAACACTTTATTTCATGAAGGTAACATATTAAGAAATTCATGTGTTATTTACAATATGGTCTTCGTTTAAACAAGGTAAAGAAAGCCACAAATATGTACACACACAAAAAGTGTAAACAACAAACATTTAAATCGACAGACACATGCATTCATGAAGATTCATTTGAATTGTATATAAAGTAAATATTTTTTCATATTTCTTTTGAAAACAAAAAGAGCATAGCTTAAATTCTTAAATTGATTTTGATATATCTTGTATTAGGTCTTATATGTATCTTGCTTCTTTTAGCAGTTTGAAAATGTATGAAGGACTCAACCCTTGTCTAGATTTAATGCAGTATTACATAATACGTTCATCTATTTTCAACAGTTGACCAGCCCAGTTTAAGGAAAAGATGTACAGATGGCGTTTTAACTGGTTTACATAATATAATCTTTGCTGTGCGTTTCTGCAATGTATACACTTTTTTCAAATTCAATTTTGTTGCAATGAACCGACAATATTATGAGAATGATTTGTTTTTCAATTGATAAAGGGATGTGATGGTCCTTGTTATGATACCTCCATTTATGACAAATTGAATAACCAAGATGACACTTGCATCCCAACACCACAGCTGGAATGTGCAACAGTACAACTACCGGGCTCATACGCCTTCACAAAAGGTAAAATAATATAGTCATGAATAGATCCAAATTTCGGTAAAATGATATTATTATAAGAAATATTCAAAGTACTTCTATACTTGTCACGTTAGACTAGCATTTGATAAATATTATATCTAGGGGCCTAGTTGAAGAAAGGGTTTAATTTATGTCACTTTATCTTAGCCTTGCTTGATCTTTATTTTATATTTTATAACATATAGAGCGTTATTACATCTGTTCAACATGCACTGACGAAGTAAACACCACAGAAACAGAAATACAACAATTTGACCTCTTAATTAGTGACATGACTGTCGATGTCAAAGATTCTTCCAAATACAGACGACGAAAATCAAGCGCAGACGACAAAAGGCGCTCTTCAACAGCGATTGGGGTCGTTTTCAGTGGCATAACAGTTGGCATAATCGGAGTGTTCATATTTCAGGATATAAAGCATGTGTTAACTACCATTTTATCAATCTTTTATACACTGGGCAAATAAGGAAAAACTGCCATCTCTGTGACTGACTTACCATTAAAATAATTTAAATAATTTGTATACTCGCAACCAAATCCTGTCAAAGGCACTTGCCAGTTGATACACATTTTAAATAGATGGTTCTTTTATTCGTGATTTATTGAAATGATCTTTAAAACGTTATAACGATATTTTTCGGAATAAAAATACAAACGTATATTCAATACACAAATGTCATCACATTGACTTAACTTTACAGTTTTTATCATGACCTTTTCAAAGAAAAATTTCGACCTATTGATACAGTCAGGTTGTTGCTACCGTTGCCGTCCAGAAACTTTAACGTTTGTCTTTTTGCTTACATTCTTAATGGATTGTTTTCGTACTTGGACACAACAACCCTTTAAGCAGACACGACTAGACTGCTAAACTGATCTTAACTCATGAATGACAATGACCTTCAAGATTAAATTAATGATTTTTGCTTGTTTTTGCCACTTTTGACTTTGTTATCATCTATGAATGGATTGTCTTCATACTTCGGCACAACCGCATTAAAGACAATGTCTTTAAAATCAAACTCATTTCGACCTTGACTCATAAATGACCTTTACCATGTCAAGTTATTGTAATTTAAATTCTTTTGCTATAATTTGCTATAACTTTGTACTAGTAATTAATGGATGCATTGTCTTCATATTGGCGCAAACCAATTTTTGGGGCATTGCATCAAAGATGATTTAATTGAACTTGACTTTGACCGTAACATTTGACATTGACACTTAAGGTCAAATCAGTAAATTTTGCTACAATAGCGGCCATTAATTAAGTCTTAGTTATTTATTACACTTGGACAGAATAACCCTTATTACAAACCCGTCAGGTTGAATAATTCAGATATTCAAGACCGGCAAGGAAAATTATTGAAATTTGCTTAAATTTTGTTATACATGTCTTCTTCCAGTATAAGAGCCGGGATCCAAAAGGAACGTAATGTACTAGTAACTTTGCTATTTATTTACAGATTTGATTCATACTTAGACAAAAGAACACATTTAACAAAACCGACATGTCAAATAACTTTGATATGACCTCGAACTTTTATTGACAAATTATTGAAAGTTGCTTGAAATGTCATTACTTTGATATTTACATATTGAATACTTGAACACAAATAACGCATATAACAAAACCGACATGTTGAATTATTCTGATATGACTTTGGCCTTTGATTAAAATTGACCTTCAAGGTCAAATAATTGAAATTTGCTTAAATAACTTTGTAATTTATTTATGGATTTTATTCATTTTTGGTAAAAAGTGAAATTCAAACGTGACCTTGACGTTTGAATCCATGTCAAATATGAAATTTGAATTTTATTTGCTACATAAGAATTTTGTTTTGTAGGAATACTCTTTACTATAATTTTCTTTCTCTGATGTGGCCCCGCTAGGTGGTGGCTCTTGTTTTTGTAATCAAGCAACATGATGTTCATATAATTCATATCTAATATTATTTTACATCTTATAAAATATAACTTCCGCACTTTTAGCATTTTACCACGTGATGTTCCAATAGAAATCGTTAATGGATCAAATCTTATAAATTTAGTCTCCTTTTCATTTCCCAAAAAGTCCATATCAAATCCATTTCATACCCATTATGGTATCGTTTTCATTGTCAGAGTCCGAAAGGTTCATACTAAATCCATATTATACCCTTTATAGCTTCGTTTTTATTTCTAGAGTCTAAAATGTTTGTTTGTCGCTGTTCAAAATATAAAGAAATGGTGGTGGGAAATAAAGAGGTCATTATAAACAGGAATGAGAACAATACTGATCCTGTTGGATACGTACACAGCTGTAAAACCTATATTGGACGATGTGCTAACAGCTGTGTACTCGTCCAATATAATTCAAATTGTACTAAATGTTTAATAACCTCATAATAAAATATAAGTCAAGTTTTTTTGTGTGAATACCTATGAAATATTTTACTCTAGATTTTATGATATAACTGACGTTATTGTCTAATACAACCACCAAATATAGAAGGGGTCGATTTAAGTACAGATGCTAGATCGAATGTTCCCGCCGATAAAGAATCCTTTATAATAAATTACATCATACCCGAGGTTTGCCTGAGACAGCTCAGTTTCATGACTAACTGTAGTAAGTTTCTAGCACTTAAAGATTTAACGATACAACAAAGAAGAAATTATATTACCTCAAATAACGGTTATCATTCTACGCAGATTTAGAGCCACAATGTAAAGCTATGTCATTGAAAATAGGAACTTATCATGTTTTTGACAAGACAATATTGTTCAGGTGATGACATTTTTCTTCTATTTTCTTGTTCAAGAAAACTAATGTATCTTGCACTAACTCTTTTAAAAGATCAGAACATGATATTGTAGCTTGTGATATTTAAAAATAGAGCAAAATAGTGTCATTAAATCGTTATGGTGACAGATATACATGCGTTATCAAAACAAGTTTACAATGATTAATTTAGCAATAGTTCTGCTTTTGCTGACATTATCGTTACAGGATTATGTATATCATAAAGGGACTCCACTGAGTTCCAAAGGTCTAAAACATTAGATTTCTTACACAAATCAACTTGAACACTTAAAACAGAAATATATGCAAAAGATAATTAAGAAATGTACACAAAAATTAAAAATTGTATTTGTGCTGTTGTTAGCACGATTTATTTGGATATTTTTCACAATTAGAATGATGATTCTCAAAAAATGGAGCGAGCGAATGATCTGATATTATGCACACAAGTTTTAAGTCTAGACCTACATCAAATGGAACATTAATATCCAGAAATTTATTTCCAGTCCAGTCATGTCAAAAAACCTCAGTGGAGTTCCTTTAAACTTACCAATAAAAATGGATTGTATATTGATTATTTTATGATAATAAGCAAAACAAGAGACATCTTTTCTTGACTTAACACAATTTTAATTGCTGTTTTATTTCACAGATATCACAAAGATTGTGAGATATCTTTTGTAATATTGCTGTATGCTTTGCTTTTGACTATGATTGTCTTAATCGAAGGTTCCGGCCAAATATTTGTTTTCTTTTCAGATTCTATCGATAAATCGATGTCAAATGTTCAATTCTATAACTTAAATAAAATCAAGGTAAACGTAAAACTTAGACCCTATTTCATTTGATTTAGAGCAGTCAATTTGCTGATTTATATCTAAACATAAAATTTGGTAATTCAATTCTATGAGATATAACATTACGAGTAAATGGAGCTTTGTAATGATAAACCCAACTAGGGGTAAGACTTATAATTATATGCAGTAAAATTCTCGTATCACAGATGTGTCTCCTGCAGATTCCAGTTAAAGGTATTCGATTTTGTATATTTGAGCCGTGTCATGACAAAACCAACATAGTGCGTTTGCGACCAGCATGGATCCAGAGCAGCCTGCGCATCCGCGCAGTCTGATCAGGATCCATGCTGTTCGCTTTCAGTTTCTCTACTTGTTATAGGGTTTGAAAGCGAACAGCATGGATCCTGATCAGACTGCGCGGATGCGCAGGCTGGTCTGGATCCATGCTGGTCGCAAACGCACTATGTTGGTTTTGTCATGACACGGCTCATTTGTAATGCATAGTTTTCATTTATGTGATGGTAAAACTAAAGAATACCGTTCGTTTACATTGACGGGCATTAAAGTATGTATACATTTCATAAAATATAAATGTACACTCGAATATTAATATCCTTTCAAACAAAATATATTTCAACCATTTTGAAGCATAAGGCATGAAACATTATTGAAAAGCAAACGTATGCTTGAATATACATACTCCTGTATATATTTTCAGGTTCTGTAAGCACGGTGTCTTAATATGAACATGTTTTAAACGGACAAAATCCTACATAGAATAGCAGAAAAATATTTTTTTCTGGAACAGTTTATTCTGTTTAGGACAATACATTTGTATTCATTCGTGTTAAATTGAAGAGATATTCTATATGTTACAACTCTTTCGTGAATCAACCATAAGATTATGGAACCTGTATAATAATACTGTTAATTATTTTTAGAAAAAAGTATTTCATAAGATGCAGCTTTCGTATCGATTTATTCAGGGGATATACATTAAACCATGTAATGAATATAGTATATAGTATGATTACCAATACTTTAGATTTTGATGACACAACTACAGAAACAAAAAACTTTCCTGCATTTGTTTAAGTGGAATAAACTTACTAAAATTTAATGCCATGCGTTAGCATGATTTGATATATTAGTATGTAAAATATGTAGCAGATAAATACTTTAGCAAACTATTTAGTTATCTTAAAAATTCTACACAAGATAGTAAATTTCTTTAAAAGTTGTTTATTTATTATTTCCTTTATTCTCAAAATCTGTTATTTCATCTGAATCAAATCGATATTTCCGACTAGCACGATTTTATAATACATTTGTATATTATTCAATCAATACAAAGCTTGCATGTTATGTGCTTAGCAGAAACTCTGTGGTAGGCCAATCTGTTTGTAATGATAATAATTTATACTAAAAACAAATGATAAACTTGTTTCTTATTTTACAGATGAATGTTTTGTCAGTAAAGCATGACCGATAACGAAATTTCTCAAAAGTTTAAGGTAAAATAAAAGAACAGAGAACAATTCCTAAATGAATTTACATATAAATGTTTTTCAGTAGGTTTTCTTTTTTATATATTTTCCGTTCTATTCCACTGTAATGCTGCCAAATTGTTAACGAAATCTGCTTATGTAACAAGACCATGAACGAAGAACTAAATAAGACACTTTGAACTCAACTTTTGCTATTTTGAAGGTTTTGATTTTATTGAAAGTGAACATTGATGCGTAAATTTGATAAAGAATTGTTTATATTAATCTTTCTAAAAAAAGCATCCAGTTTGATCTTTGTTTCGTGGTTTGTTCTTAATCTTTTATCATAATATTGTTCATTTGATCATGATAGCCTATGTAGTAAAGATCTTTAATCCGTTTGAACGAAGTAATGAGATTAGTATTGTAGCAAAATATACATGTATACTTTAAACAGATTATTAAAGCGTTCAACACTGTATTGTATATATAATTTTATTTTTATTATTTTTTATTATTATTTACTTACATTTTGATTTAATCATTTATCTTGATGAATGTGGATATAACAGCTATTATAAATGGTAAGAAAGGTTTTTAATATTTTGTCTTTTCATCGTAATGTATTTTCAAATAATACATTCTCATTGTGATATATCGCAATCAGTGATATTAAATAGTGTTCTTGGTTGATTATTGAATTTAAATTCAAACAACTATCATACCAATATCATACCAAAATGGCCGCTATTACTTATGTCGTATATCTGATATATATAGATTATAAGTTATTGATTTCAACATATTTTGAATTTCAATGTATGCACACAATATAAAAGACTTAATTTTATGTTTTTAGCTGGATGGTTACATTGCATATCGTATATCTTAAATATTGCAGTAGAATCTCTCTGATTTGAAACAACCAAATATAGACAAGATTTTGACAATATTAGGAAAAAATCATTATACTTTGTAGTTCAAACTATCCGCCGATTTTATACCGATTTTACAATGACAATTAGCGGTTGTACAGACAGACACGTTTAACATGAAAGAGACATAATTTCATAACGTCATTGAATTCTTGGATGTCAAAGGAAATCTGATAAGTATTTGCACAAACAGAGATCGTAAAAATAATTGTGTGATACTTGAGGCAAAAGAGAGATGTTTGATAACCATTTTTCGTTCATTTATCTATTTTTTCGTACGAGCTTTCGATATTTTTTTCTAAATAATAATATTTATTAATGGTTCAGTATGTGTAATGATCGATAATACTGAAATAAAAAATATATTGGTCTAAAGGCAAATTATGCCTCAGAAATCCATATTTTTTATATTCTATAGAACTGTGAAACATGTGCTAAGTAACATTTCATTAATGTATTTAGAGCATATTAGATGCTCAACAAGTGAAGTTAGTATTGCAAAATGTGCAGTCATATGTCGTGAAAGTAGCAATATGTAAACAAAGTAGTATTTTGTATGGAAGTCACTATAAATTTCCCAATTGTCAACAGCATAAAAAATCAAAGATATTTCACCTATATGGCAAATGAGTATATTTTTAGAAACTATAACATGACACCGAAAATAAAAAAAAATGATAAATTTAATGTATAGCGCTAGCACTTCTGAGGCTAAATGGGCCTTTAAATATGTGATTTTGAAGTACTTGTATTCTTTCTTTCTTTCTGTGTATTTATGATTTTCTGAGTAAGATATCAGACTCGCATGTTTGGAAAACTGATTAACCTGAAACAATATACATTTAAACATCATACATTTGATAAGAAATAATTTCTCTCTTTAAAATTCGTCCTGATTTCTAATCAATTAACAAAACTAATAGAAAAGATCTATGTGTCTTAATTATTTTCCTTGAATTATTTATTTCTTGAAAGATACACTAGAACATCGATTTAAACAAACGTGAAGTGCACATTCTCGTTGATTTAAATTCACTTTGATCTGGAAGCGCTCGTTACACGACCATTTCTAGCGTGGTAATTGCCAGCCACGAGAGATGCTATCTGGTTTATTGTAGTAACGTACTTGGTATTTGTTTGAGGGAAAAATACGTTTACGGAAACATTCCTATCTGTAAAGATTTGTTCGGGTTGAGAAATAGGTACATAATTGGGCTAGCATTATCTGAAATTCAGATCATGTAATGTCTAAGCAATTTCTGTTTCATTCTTTTTTATTTCATTTATTTCAAGATTTTAGAGTCTGTATATGACAACAATTTAATATCGAACGAGTAATTGTACAGACAGACGACAGGTTACATAAACATTATATAAACAATATATGTTACACTACTACAGTTATACAAGTAACTGTTATAGTCTCTATTTGAACAAAGTTCAATCTATCTTATTCTCATTTACTTCAAGATATTGCACGACATTCATACTGTTGTGGACAGCTTTTCCGCTACAGTTGAACATTAGTCAAAACCAGTTGTTGACTCAAATCTAGAACAATTTACATTATGTTTTGAATTATCAGAAAAATAATGACATTTCTAAAAACGCTTCAATGTAAAAAATATATATATTATAGATTATCTAATTTTAACCCACATTCTCTTTAAGATAAACTTTCACGACAAGTAAAATATGTCTATCTAAATATTTGATAAAAAATTGCTTGAAATAAAAAGTACATGTCTTACATCGAATAAAAGTTGATGGCGCTGCTGGCAACTTAACGCTTCTCATGCGATTCATAATCGTATTATTTTAAATACTGAAACCTCTCAAACTTACAATTCACAGTTCCAAATTCACAGTAGAACACGTCTAATAGACAAAGTCAACATGGTGAAGGTTAAAACGATAAGAGCAAACATGCGTGTAATTGGATAATTTTTGATAAAATTTTATTAAGGCTGATCAAGAAAAATCAATGCAAATTGCAACACGCTAGAGATAGCGAATCACATTTGTTTTCTTTGGGATAATTCTGCAAGACGAATTTCTTTGATCGCGGTATTTAAATGCCGTAACGACAGGAAACATTTAAACTTGTGCTTAAAGCGGTGCTTAAGGAAAACAGAAAACGATTTTATAGCAAACATTGAATCATCAAAATTACGAATAGAGTAATTTAGAGAGGGAAGTCAAGTTATAAGGTCAGGAAACTAGGGACCTGGCAAAATTTCGACAGTTTATCAGTGTTTCTCTATGAAACAAAAGGAAAATGAAAACTTATATTGTGCATATTAAGTTAAAAGTGATTTTTTCATGAAATAGGATTTCGTTAAATCAGTATGTTTGTGTTTCAGAGAATATTTCAAAACGCTGAAATGTATTTATCAAAGAATATAAGGAAGTAAATAAATGGTGAAGATGGAGACAAAATGACGACGCCGAAAACATTAATTATTTTTATGTGTGTTCTAAACGTTAGCTGTTCCGGTAAGTTTCCATGTTCTATATACTGACCTTTATATATAAATGATAAAACGTTTTAGTTGCTTATTCTTATTATTCTGAAAGACTATTTACTTATATATACAAATCATTTTTAAATTAATCCTTTATTTATGGATAAAAATTGATAAGAATAGAAAAGGTTGTGGCTCTATCGTTTTACTCTCATGTTTCATCGAAGATAAAGATACGGTTCAACTGACAATGGTCTGTTGATGGGATATTTATTTCTATTATATGCGACAAAAACATAGATCATTATGAAAATATCATAAGTATTTTCTTTATATAAAAAGATGTACATGAATACGAGTTTTACAAGCGGTTTAAAACGTGAACTGTCATTATAGTTCCAGGTTGCCCGTCAACAGCAAAAGTGCTATATGCCGAGCAGGCACCACAATTTATATCATCACCGAACTATCCCGGCTACTATGGTGTATTTAACTCGTAAGTATCATTTACAGCTTATGTAGATATAGGGAGATTTTAGTTTAAATATATCAATTTTTGCTCGTTTGTGGAACAAGTTTTTGTAATTTGTATTACATGTAATCACTTTCGAATCATGGATTTAAATAGTACTGGTGTCATGAGGAAACATGATCGTGACCCGAATAGGTTTCGAACCCATGATCCCTGGGTTTATAGTCAGACACCTTAACCACTAGGCCACCGCTCCTCTTTAAAGGAAGATATGTTATACTCTTGGTATTGTATTCGTAAATTCGGACACAAAATTTAAACTTTGTTTTCTTGCTCAAAGTATTAATTACGTTTTTATAGATGCACCAAAAGTTTATCTTTCTCTTTTTCTGTAAAAAATTACGTTGTCATTTTATTGTTGTGACAGCACAATTCAAGTAAAAGATAAGTCAGCATTTCAGGAATAAACTCAATTTGTCTAGATCTTACAAAATTGAAGACTAAACAAACTGTTTGTGGTGCTGGAACTAAAATATATACAGGAATAGTTTTCATGTCAATTAGCTGTTTGTAAATGATGAGGAAATACATGTAGATCTAGTATGTATAGGCTATCTAATTCTGAAGATAATGATAGTACAAAATTCAATATTTAATGATAATATTTGAAGAAGAAAAAATTACGAAAGCCTAATAGTGTCAAATGAAATAAAAAATAAAAATGCAAAGGCGTTATAACGCGAATAAAGGCATTATTACGCGAATCAAAAGGCGTAAGAACGCGAATAAAGGCGTAGCAACGCGAATCAAAAGGCGTAATAACGCGAATAAAGGCGTAGCAACGCGAATAAAGGCGTTATAACGCGAATCAAAAGGCGTAATAACGCGAATAAAGGCGTTATAACGCGAATCAAAAGGCGTAGTAACGCCTTTATTCGCGTTATAACGCGAATCAAAAGGCGTAGTAACGCAAATAAAGGCATTATAACGCGAATAAAAAGGCTTAATAACGCGAATAAAGGCGTAATAACGCGAATCAAAAGGCGTAATAACTCGAATAAAGGCGTAATAACGCGAACCAAAAGGCGTACTAACGCCAATTAAAACGAATTATAATGCCAAATTAATACCATATTTATACTAATCAAATGGCCTGGTAACGTAAGAAAGCAAGACCAATATTGATCTGAATTTATTCCTCAAGATATAAACTCGTATAGAATAATATAATATATACGCCTTTTGATTCGCGTTATTACGCCTTTTGATTCGCGTTATAACGCCTTTATTCGCGTTGCTACGCCTTTATTTGCGTTGCTACGCCTTTTTTTCGCGTTATTACGCCTTTTGATTTGCGTAATTACGCCTTTTGATTCGCGTTATAACGCCTTTATTCGCGTTATTACGCCTTTTGATTCGCGTAATAACGCCTTTATTCGCGTTATAACGCCTTTGTATTTTTATTTTTTATTTCATTTGACACTATTAGGCTTTCGTAAAAAATAGTAGCAAAATGGTAATTATAATATAAATAATACCATCCATCTTGTCCTCTTCCTGTTAATTTTGTAAAATGTTCTACATTGAAATTGAACCACCTGCAAGATTCTTTTGATTTTTTTTTAATTATTCCTTTTTTTAATAATTATTTTTATCATTATTAATAATAAAAAAAAGGAGAAATGTTTCATTTTTTGTCATTACTTTCAAATTTCAATTCAGATCGTAAATTAAACCTTTGCCCTTTCTTTCACCAGGTGTTCAAATGTTTGTATGACGCGTGTCAACAATTATCGCCAATTAACTGTGAAAACTTTGGTGTATAGTTGATCAAAAGGGCACCCGTTTCACAGTTTGCAATTTACCTGTTGAACAGTTTATAATGTAAATTTTTCCGATTTTAATTATCTTATTTATTGTTTTCTGTGTTAAAATCTTTCCGATTAATCAATAATTGTCTTAAATTTTGTGAATAAGAATAAATTGGCACCATTATTCGGCGCGTTATGAAAGCATATGAAGTGTCTAAATTCTGTCAGAATATATTTATTCCGTAGACATTAGACTCCGTGTGATATTTACCTCGTTATGGCTAAACTTATCTTAAGAATATTTTAAACTTTATCTAAAATTATAAATAAAAAATATTTAATACAAGTTAAGTTTCAATATCATTATGTGTCTTTGGGGATAAATGGCTACGATGATTCATATTACTGTCAGTCTAGTCACGTGAGTTACCTCCCGTTAATAAGACAGCGGTCGGGTTTACTGAACAAAAGGCAATCAAATTATGAATTTATTTCAAAAGTAAACATATATCTCGATTTACAATATAGAAATTAAAAAAACTTCGACATAGCAATAAAGGTATTTTTAATCGCCGATTATTCCAAGCATTTTAAAGTAGTATAGTATTCGAGGCAATCAATTTCGGATACGTATACGTCAAAGAGAAATATTGGAACAAATGTTGTAAAAACGAATATTCGAATATATTCGAATATGGAAAACGAATATTCGAACATCGAATTCCTTATTCGTTCCCAGCCCTAATTATTATTAAGCAGCCAACAAACAGTTCAAAGTCTTTTCGAACTTATCAAATAAGTAATTTTTTTCTTGATATGAGATTGATAAATTTATTAAAAGATCTACGTGAAAAGCAGGGTGATTTCTCAAAAAAAAATTGTTTATTTGCAGACGACTTTCATGTCTATGGTTGATCACCGCCGCAGACATATATGATGACGTAGTTATACAAGTACAGGTTCTGAATTCATCTATAGAACCTGCAACCGGATGTTGGAGAGACGTCGTTAGCGTCATAGACGGTATGCTTATAACACGTGATTAAAACGTGGTTTGAGCCGCGTCATAACAAAATCAACATAGTGCGTTTGCGACCAGCATGGATCCGGACCAGCCTGTGCCTCCACGCAGTCTGATCAGGATCCATGTTGTTCGCTTACAAACCCTATAACAAGTAGAGAATCTGACAGCGAACAGCATGGATCCTGATACGACTGTACGGATTCGCAGTCTGGTCCGGATCCATGCTGGTCGCAAACCCATGTTGGTTTTGTCATGGCGCGGCTCATTTCTATTGTCACTGATTGTCTGATGGGTAGGGTGAAAGGAAAAAGAAAAAAAAGATATTATTATGAATGTCAATGGAAACCATAAAAAGCTAGAAACGTAATTGAATTTGTTTGACTAGATATCAATCTTCATGCTTTTTTTCTACCTAATGTAAAGAAAATAATACATGTACTTTATATATTTGTACACTCTATGAACACTTCCATTTTTCTAAAATCTTCATTATATATATATTTTATTTCATTGGTTTTTTTTTATTACATCGTTTATTCTAAAATGTATATGCCCAAGGATAGCTTTCATGGGTAATCCGAGGTTATTGCACGCTGCTCTATGCACTACTATGTACATGCATTAGTTTACAAAGTCATGTTCCATGCGTCTTTAAATATAGTCAAACGCGAATAAGATGTACTTTAATCTTGTTTTTTAATTGACTTCTGATGATACATTTATTTATGACAAACAAATAGTCAAATTCATTTTTCAAACTTTTGTCATAAAAATGGTGCATTTATTGTGTGTTTGAATCTGAATAAAAATCGATCAATCAAGACATATTATCTAAAAGTGCTTATATAGAGTATTATATAATTTTCCAAATATTGTTATTCTCAATTCTAATCAATTAAATGCTCATAAACTTTATCAATAATTCCTGACATAAAAGTACATTTTAATTATCTGTATTGTTTTTTTTCTGTTTAAGTACATGTATATTCTTCCTTTAAATTTCAGGTCCTCGGGATTTTACCACAATTAAAGAGCTGGTGTGGCTACTCGTGGCCGAAGAGCACAATAACCAGCACGGGTGACAAGGTACTGGTCAAGTTCACAACGGACTTCAAACTCAATGACTACTATGGTTTCATGCTGGCATACTGGGTAGCCAAGAAACGTAAGTTGATTTTGGGCATCTACGAGTCGCGCGTATATCATTTTCAAAATTTGTTGGTGATGTTCATCTTAAAACGTCAAATATTTGTGAGATTTGTACTGTTTTGTAATATATTTCTACACTGTAAGGTTGTCTTCTTGATTTAGATGCGTTTGTTAAACGTTCAGTCTTTTTAACACTCGTCTCGGGCGAACATTCCGTTTTATCACAGTAAGTGGAATGTAATATTTAGTTATATTCATTCATTTATTCTATTCCGATAAAAACATTATGACCATTACCCATTGGTATGCTTAGTGGAGGGTTTTTAATGCATTAGAAATCCCCCACTAAGCCTACCAATGGGTCATGGTCAAAATGAAATAAATGTGGTGATAATTTGCCTTAAAAGCAAATGGCGCATACAGAAAATATTAAAAACCCTACTTGAAATAGCAGAATAATATTTAGTTCTGGAACATTTTATTTTGTTTATTTTCAATATTCATGAGAGACATTCTATGTAATAATTTTTTTTGAGAATCGACCCTAAGATTATTGTACCAACATTATTTATTGTTGATAAATTTTATAAAAATATTTAAATATGACATAGCTTCATACCCTTTCAGATATGAACCCAAACGTACTACATGTAGTACTAAAGTTTAATTGCATTAAAATCAATTTACAAATTAACGAGCTACCGGTATATGGCCCCGACAAAAAAGTGGTTGGCCTCGCAAACCAACACTGATGTAGGCGAAAGCTTTACATAACCTGAACTATCAAAACTTTTAAAGATATTATGACATCGAATGTTCAGTAATAGACCTTACATAATTATTAAATAATTAACTAGAAAACTGTTTGCAAATATGCTTAAGTAAATAAGAATGTAATGTGGATTTTTTTTTCTATTTTCAGCTGTACTTATTGTAAACGAGTCAAAATGGACTGCTATAAACTATGTTTTATTAGTGATAAGTGCCCTGTTGTTATTTGGTGGTCCAGCCTGGGTACTTGGTTTATACTTCAAGAGGGAACTTTATCCGAAAATTGTGAAATATCGCAAAGAAAACTAACTGCACATGCTAAAGATGATGTCTATTTTAGATTGAATTGTGACAAGTAGGTAAAATATAAGACGGTTGGCGAACAAACATCTTAATGTACATGTACATATGGCATCATGCCTGGAAGAATTAAATATCTTTCTACCTAGAAAGAGATTGATTCAATAAATGTCAGGTGGAAAGACAGATCAACATTGGTCAATTCTGTGGTGTATGATTACACTGTTAAAATATGCAATAAGTTAAACTGTTTATTTAAATTGTGATATTATACAAAAAATGACATTACAATATATGCAGAATAATATATCTGGTGATAATTAAGGTATGTAAATATAAACATTGTATGTAAATAAATGCTTTTGTTATTAATAATGTTATTTGTATTATTACTTCATGCTATCTGTTGTAATAAAATTAAAATGCCTGTACATAAATTTTTGCTTGAAGAGTTTGTTCTACTTAAGAAGTCTATTGAAACCAACAGAACATTGTGTTCTAACTAATAATAATTTCTTTTTGCCTATTTTCTATTATGTCGCTTAATTTACAACTGAACGCCGTTGGTACTACTCAGGTGCCTGTTCGTGCCTGAAATAATGCACGGAAGGGCACCTGAGGTCTTCCTCCACCAGTAAAGCTGGAACGTCGCGATATGACCTATACTGTGTCGATGAGACGTAAAACCCAAAACAAAACAAAACAAACAAATTTACAACTGTGCACGAGTCCAATAGTGTGTTGTCTATTACTTCTAGCACATGAATTTCATAGAGAATACACTAAATATTGATCTACATACACTTCAAGAATGGTCCTATAAGAGGCTTATCAAATTTAATCAAGATAAAAGAAAAGTAATTTTTCCCCCCTTAACATGATGAACAACGTCCTCTAGTCTTTGAATATACCCAATTAATTTAAATCTCAAAGACATTGGACTTACATTATCAAATGAAGATTGAAAATGGCATGAACACTTACATCAATAAAATAATGACACCAGCATCTACATTCTAAGCTCAATGCGATGATTAAAATTTAAACTAAAACGAAATTAAATCAAATTTATTTATCATATATGCGACTTATCCTCGAATACATCGTCAGTGTTTGGGATGGCTGTGATAAAAAATGATAAACATTCTCTTTAAAAAATGCAATACGAAGCATCGTGTGTTGTCACAGGCATTACTAGATCGGTATCCCCAGAGTCGTCGCTACCTGGTGGATGTTGTCGAGAAACCCCGTTAAAGTTGAAGTATCTATAGAACGTCTTTTTCGGGAAATAGGCCGAGTATCTTTGTCGGATAAGAGAATAACGCAAAACAAATGATAGTTGTACAAAGCCCATCAAAATAACACGACAAGCTACTTGCTCAATCTTTAACACAATAGTGTTCCTTATTCTACGCCATACTTTCTCCAAAATGATAACAACCATGCGGCTATTGCACGGCAAACACAAATATTCACAAAATCATTCATTCCTTCATTCACTGAGTTATGGAACAATTTCGATGATATTTAAAGATATGCAGCTTCACTAAATATTTTTAAATTTGATCTCCACGACATGTTCAAAATTACAATATAAACCTTAAGTTCTTTCTAAATATCATGTATATCAAAATCGGAGATCAAAGTTTATCTGTTTATCATGCACATATTAGAAACAATTGCAGTAATCTTAATGCGGTCTTTATAAAAAATCATTAAGGAGATAACTCATTGTGTAGCTATTGTACATCCAGTACTGAAGACGCCGAGTATTTCATTTTTAAATTGTTCAAATATAACAAAATTAGAGTGCAACTCACAGTTTCCATCCGATGAGAGTAAAATTCCTTTTGTTTGGAAAAGAATCTCTTTCTGATGAAAACAACTCATTTAGTTTTATCGAAGCACACATATTTATTAGTTTAAACATTTTTATTGCATCAAATGCATGTAAATGTTATACAAATGATAAGTATATAACAACAGCAAATGGTTTAAGTATTTACTAAGCCTCCTGTAGATTTTAAAGAACATATTTGTAGTTATGTCAAAATTGTTTTATATATATATAAATAGTTCTTGTCTTGTACATTTGATATTGAACTCTCCATCCCACTTTTTTTCTTTTCCTTTTTCTTGTACATATACCATTTAGATTTCCCAAAGCTACTCTACTATCATGCAATTTTGATTGGTAAATGTCTTATTATTTAGATAATTTCATATTTCAGGGAAGAACCGTTTACTGATGCTGTAAGAACTCGTGGTTAAACCCTCTTGCTACTTTGTGTTAATATTATAATAATATACTGTTATAAATGTGTACAAAAAGAGCAATAAAAATGTTTAAGTTCATGGGAGAGCTTGGACGAGGAACAATGTTAACAGGTTGTAAACAACAATTACTTCCAAAACAAATACTGTACAGATTGTTTTTTTAGAATCAAAATTCAGTAATGACATATATTCCCCGAACAACAAGATTGTCAAGATTGTATGACAGTATCAGATTTTTACTTTAATTATTCCATGGGCTGAATTCATTGTGTTGTGACGTCATTAGCTGATGTGATAACTGTATAGATATACTAAAGAGACAGCAATTTGAGCTTTGTCTAAAATGACATTATGCCCATCCAAGTGTGATGGGAAATGTCAAAATACATTTACATTTTACCATAAATGCTTTCAATATTAAATATATGAATAAACAATAACCCACTTGACTAACCGCAATTTCTTTAGTTTTCCTTTGGAATTCATAAGTAAAAGAAATCACCAGTCAATCAATAAAAAAATGCGCATTTTTTTTTATTATATTAGTCAGTTTACACATTTCATTTATAATCAATTAGTGGCCAAATACAATCATAATAGTCAATCTTTAGTACTATGTTGCTGATGCAGTTAAACTTGATAGTGAAAAAATAAGTATAATGTCACTTTAATCACATAATAATATATAGGTTTTTATTATATGTTTATATGAGAAATGTATAGGTGAGAAACATAACAGACAGTGTATGGATAAATCACAGAACAGCTTATCAAAATAAAAAATCTACAAAAGTTGTTCAATGTTCTAAGATCCTGAAGCGGAGAATGTTGAGTTTACATGTTTACTGTGAAATATATCTACTGTTGTTTCATAACACTTTCTTAAGTCAAAGTCACAGAATCCTATATCAAACTTCCCTTGTGTGGCCTTGTATATATCTAACCCTCGACCTATCTTAATAATCCAACCATTGTTAAATCTGCAATAGAAATAGATCAATTTATTAATTATATGAAGTCTATGTGGTAATAAACTGGTTGAATTGGAGTGGTGGCCTAGTGCTTAATGTGTCTGCCTCTCAACCCAGAGATCATGGGTTCGAGTCCTACTCAGGTCACCACCATGTTTCTTCATATGACACCTGTCCAGTACTGGTTGGTTCCAGGAAGCGGACTTGAAAGTGATTAATATAAGTTGCAAGAACTTGTTTCGCAATCGAGCTTAAATAAATATATTTATACCAATAAACTGTCTTAGAACTGCTTAATCAACAGTAAGGGGATAATTACTTAATTAGGTCTATATGACATTTGGATCTTTTCTTCATTTTTTTTACTCTTAGCTTGTCAGTAGCAACTTAATTTACCTATGTAACCAGTGCAGATAAAGATTAGCCAGTAATGTGTGCCATTTGATCATGGTTTGTACTGGCAGCTATTGGGCCAGTACTTTTTGGAAATTTTCTGTGAAAATGATACTGACTTTTGTGAAGAAGTCCAATTAGGATATTAAGCCCTGTATGGGTTAAAGTTTCAATGAAATAATCCAATATACTGGTAACAAATCCAACTAGCCTCATACTAGATAAAAACACAATATAATATTATTTATATAGTATTCCACAAAATATTTTAACATTCTCCTTCAAAGTTAACATATCTATATGAGGATTTTTCAAAAAAACTAAGACTCTTGTGTCTTAATATACCATTAAATTTAGAAAGTTTTTATTTATGTGACACTTGTAAATTGTTTTCTACAATTTGAGTATAAGATTTTAATAAACACCTGCTCCTTGTGATTGATAATATCTGTCATATGTTTCGGTTCGGACCAAAATATCAGTCCAGAGAGGACCCGTCCAATGGCAAGCCTCGTTACCGCCCATGGGCCGATTCCCTAGGGACGGATATTCTGATCCGAACCGCAAACATATGTCAGATATTTTTTCTTGCATACTCTGCCATATCATTTCATATTTAAAATGGTTTACCTCATTATGTTATATGTTCATTGAAATTCAAGTCATTTCATCCATAACTATTTTCTTACAATAGCGTTTGAATTAACAACTTAAATAACAAAGGGGAAATGACATCATCCTAAGCACATATTTCCCTTCTAAAACGACATCATTTTAACGCGGTTCATTCATAAAGTGAGCTAAAATGACGTTGTTGTTTGGCATGCGACTCATCTGGCACCCCCATGCCAGTTGAAATTTTCTGCATGGGTAAAACTCACGGAAATGCTATGCAAGAAATTAGAATAACCAAGGTTACACAAACCCAGTGCAGCAGATAAAAAAAGTTTTTGAATCTAAGTTGTTTTTCTAGTTTATTCATAATTTGTTGTCTGTTTTTCCATACATTCGTATTGCAAAGGCTGCTCTGTAAGTTAGCATGCTTGACTATTCTCAGTGCTTGATATATTTTAAAACAGGTGATAGTTTTCTTAAAGTTCATAATAGTGAACATTATGTTTTTCTTCTCTTCAAGTGGATGACTGATGTGATAGTTATAAAGTGTTATAAAATTCAAAATAATACATTGAAGAGTTCAATAAAATGTTGGTACAAAGACCATCACAAGAATTCTTAGATGAAAAAGGGGCATTTTTTTTTGTTTTATAAATTACAGAGCCACAAGTTTGTTTATTCTTCCAAATTGAAAATCAATATTACTTACGGTCAATAGAAAAAGTGGGGTATTACAAAATGAAAGCAGATGTCTGGGCTGGGTCTAAGTAAGGATAATAGGATAAACAATCAGTCAATCATATAAAACTATATATAAACAATCATACTTAAAACAAACTCAGTAGAGACTATGATATAACTTACCTGATTTCTCTATCGTGTAGAGTCTGTGAAAACTCTATCTCAAGTGCTATTTGATAGGATAACAGACTTGTTGTCAGTTCAGACAGCTTGGACTGCTGGAATCTTCTCTGATCTCCATTCTAATGTAACATAATAACAACACTTAGGTTCCAATAATGCATGATTTCTTATCTATATTCAATACAAATATCCTATATGTTCATACTATACATTTAAATTGAAAGTTAATATCAGTACTGCCTTTCATTTTGTAGTGTTGGAAAATCATATATTTATTGTCAAGATTTACATCAATTTACAAGGTTATAATGCTGGTAAAGACACCAAGTACAAATTTGTACATTATATAAGGCCTAAGCATGTACAAAATTAAAACCCTTAACTTAAGAAAGTCAATTGCAAAGCTTGTTCATGTGTAGGACATAAAGATATTCAAAAGTACAACTTGGATTCAAGAAATTGAAAATCAGGGCACATGGTTGCTAACCAGATATTGTCACTTGAAGGTTTCCACTACATTTTTTAAAGATTATTTTAAAATTTATTTGTGAAAATGGCAAACAAATTTCCCTTTGCTTCTTTAATCCAATGATAAAATCTTAGAACTAATAAATTATACTAAAAATGTAACAATTAAGGGAGCGGTGGCCTAGTGGTTAAGGTGTCTGCCTCTCAACCCAGATATCATGGTTCCAACACTACTCGGGTCACGACCATGTTTCTCAAAATGACACCAGTACTGGTTGGTTCCAGGAAGCGGACTCGAAATTGATTAATAAAAGTTGCAAGAACTGCTTTTTGCAATCAAGCTTAAATAAATATGTTTAAAACAAAATGTAACAATGTGTCAACTTAATAACATGTGCTTTTTAAACTGCATTGTATTTTTAATGCTGGCACCAGTGTAAAACCACCAATCTCACTTGAGCCCTTTAGATGGCTTTTGAAAATAAATAATCAGATAAATTATTGGTATATTTTTCATGTGAAACTAACAAGTGTTTTTCATGGTAAACTAACAAGTGAACTAGTTAAATACAAAATCTAGTACATGTATTACCTCATCCTGCCCAGTGATCAATTTTATCTTATTTACTTTCGCTTCTGATTTTACAAGAAGTTCACAAAAACGCAAGAAGTTATACAACTGAAAGACAAAAAATAGCACACTGTTCATCTTTATCATCTTCATATAATTACAGGTCATATACACATTAAACACTGACTAGAGGTGGGTCATTAATATTTCATACTTATTCCCAAATATTTTACAACTCAAATTGTCCTAGAGTTAGATTTGTAACACAAGATAAAGATAAACATACAAATTATATAAGTATGTAAATAAATACAACAAGAGCTGACAGTAGGACAGCGAGCCAGGCTTTTTGCAGTGTCTGATACTTAAACCAAGAATTTTCTAAAATCACAAAGGGTCATATGTCAGTTATAATGTGTGTCGGAGCTATGGATGTTGGACAGAGACATTTTTTTAATTATGGTAACAAAGACATTTTATTAAGTTTCAAGAGAATAAATTTAAAGTATTGGAGATTGATATTTCATGCAAAACCTTAACCAAGAATTTTCTATGTGGTGGGGGGACCTTGGAGGGTGACCAATTATGGTCACAAAGACAAGCATTAAGATTAAAATGAATACCTTCAGTTGTTTTTAAGACTTGATGTGGCATTTTCACAAAAATCCTTAATACAGTAAAAATTCATGTCAAACATATGAGCATTGGAAAATCACCTACAATTATGATCAACAAGACATGTTTATGTCTTAAGACAGCTTTTTCGTAAAATTGGTCCGTCTCCAGACCATTCTATTTGAAAGACCCTGATGCAAGTTTATGTCTTCAGCTGTCTTGAAGACAGATGTTTATGGTAAAACCTTTACTTATAATTTTCTAAGTTCACAAAGGGCCATCACTCTGTAAAAAATTCATGCTAGAGTTTTGTGCCTTGGAAAGTGACCTCCAATTATGATCTTAAATTAGAGTATGAAGTATCAAGCAAATATGTTTAGTTTACCTGATGTGTTGACCTAATGTATGGGTCTTCAACTGTAACTTCTGTTAAATTTTCATCAAGAAATCTTCCAAACAGCCTTTCAAAACTATGCCCAGTGGAATTACTTTCTATGTGAATCTGTTCATGATATTTTCCAGCTAAAATAATCATCAATCCATTCAATTTTTACAAGAAAAATGGAAGGTCAATAGCTTTATCTTGAGAAACTAGGGTATGACTTTTTCATTGTCTTATAAATAACAATCATCGTCATCATTAATCTGTACAGATGGAAACAAAAGTAGAATATATGGGTGCTGTTTACAGGTAGTCTATCTTTTGATGTACATTATAACCATGTAATCTTGTTTTTTTTTTCTAAATTTGGACTAAAATATGATTTAATTAATATAAGCAATAATTGAATTCCTCATAACCTTGTTTGCTAAACAATTTATTTCATATTTAATAAAGCAAAGTAAAATTCAAGTCAAAAATAATTGTTATAACCGGATATTGTTTTCACTATGACCATGTTTGTTGAAAGTGAAGTTTGCTGTATTGATTTCAGTTTCATTTGCTTTAAATTACAATGTATATGTATTAAAATATGTTATTTATGTTTTAATACATTAAAAGTTTACCTTCTTTTTCTTCCTCTACTTTCTTCTTAAGTTCCTCGGCTCTCTTCATATACTCATTTATCTTTGTTCTAATTCCCTCTTTCTTTTCTGTTGGGGTACCTGCAGAATATTTATTTTAACGATTTTAATCAGGGTTCTTTTTTATTTAGAAAATGTTTTAACTCTCGATGACTTTATAAGAATAACAGTTCTGCCCTTGTTAGAATACAAGTTATGGAATTGATGAACACAATTTTTAATTTTAGTTCTATACATAGTTGAACAGTTTTATAACAAGAGCTGTCAGAAGGACAGCGCGCTCGACTTTTTTAGTGCTTGCCTATAAAACAAAACTTTGACAGTTAAGGGCACACAAAACTTTAACTAGGAATTTCTAAGTACAAATCAAGAAACATTTTCACAGAGTTATCTTCTCTTGCTTACAGATAGGTCTCATGATGGCACATAAGAACTCCAACTTCCAAAGTAATATCTCAAATGGTTAAGTCAACAAGTGGACAAGAATGAAAATTTTAACTGAGTTTCTAAGTCAAAAAGGGCCATAATTCAAATAAAATCCTTAACAGAATTACCTTCTCCTGCCCATGTTTTGGGACCATGATGGTAAACAAGTATTCCAACTTTCAATTTAATATCTCAACCAGTTCAGTCAAAAAGTTGACTGGTACAAAAAAGTTAACCAAGATTCTAAGTCGATAAAAGGCCTTAATTTTTAAAACAAATCCCTGACAGAGTTACCTTCTCTTGCGTACAGATGGGGGTAATGATGTGAAATAGCATTAAAAGTTTCAAAGCAATATCTCAAAGGGTTAAGGCAATAAGTGGATTTTACCCATATTCAATGTATTTTCTAAGTCAAAAAGGGGCATAATTCTGTCAAAAACCTTGACAGAGTTATGTCCTCTTGTCTGTTGATGAAGGTCGTGATGGTAAACAAGTATGGTCAGTTTCAAAGCAATACCTCCAATGGTTTTGAAATAAAGTGAGGTGGTACAAAAAACTTAACCAAGCTCAATACACTTTCTAAGTCAAAAAAAGGGCCATAATTCTGTCAAAAACCTTGACAGAGTTATGTACTCCTGTCTGTAGATGGAGGTTATGATGGTGAACAAGTATGGTAAGTTTCAAAGCCATACTTGTAATACTTCTGAAATAAAGTGGGGTGGTACGAAAAACTTAACCAAGGTGTGACGCCAACGCCGACGCCGACGCCAACGCCGACGCCGACGCCGACGCCGGGGCGAGTAGGATAGCTCCCCTTTTCATAGAAAAGTCGAGCTAAAAATGTTTAAGGCAATTTAACAGAATGTACATATATTACACATTGACAAATCTTGGTTAAATTCAAAATTGAATACTCCAAAGCTCTTAAATCTGTCTTACAAATCTACCTGTACTGATTAACCAAATGCACTTTTTTCCATATTATGTTTGATTTTTAAGAAACTTTTGACTTTAAAGTAATACAGTGCACTTTTGAAACAATATTTAATTTTGAACATTATGATACACCATTACAAGATTACACAAAAATGGACCAACCTTTTAACACATCAATGAGTAACTGAAGACCTTCCTGATAACAGACAACAGCATCTGGATAACGGCCTGCTGTGTCTAGTTCAACAGCTCGGGTCAACACTCTTGTAGCAGAAGCCAATACACCTGCTAACTTATCTGCCATAACTCTGTCTATCAGTATCTATAAAGGTAAAGTATCGTACTCAAGGTAAGTTTATATAAAGTTGGAAAGTTTGAGATAAAAATAAATAATTAAATACTAGTAGCTATTGCGACATCTATTTAAATTTTAAAGTGACATTATACCCATCCAAGGCAAGGGTATATAGTGAGTGAACAGGTGCAAGTCAAATTAGGTTAACATGATGCTGTAATTTCTTTGAATTTTATAGTTTTATATGGTAACTCAAGTGGCTCAAGGAAACATCTGTACAAATTCTTCCGAATTAACCTATAATGTTCAATTTAGTGGGACAGTCTTTTTTATATTTTAGATAGGTTTATATTTTATACTCAACATTTTTTAACATCAACTGTTGGTAAGTCACCATTATATCAGTCAGTCTTTTGAAATATGGAGTCAATTTAGCTAAATTTGACAATGAAAATATGAGCATAATGTCACTTTAAATTTTTACAAAAATGATTGTGCAATTCCTTTTCCAACATGAGGTCTCCTTTTCTCCCGCATGGTGATTGAATTAACCCATTACCAGAATATACACGCCTTTTAACGCCTTTCTCACCCCCCTTTTTATTGTCTCAAATGGTGAAAAAATGCCTTATTTAGGCCCCATCACTTGTTTTTATTTGAGAAATGTTGTTTAAAAAAAGTGACCATTTTTTCGGTGCTACCCCCTATACAAAAGATACATCTGGGGGTTGCTGTTTGGGGGTTTATCGCCAAAAAAAGGCTAAAAATGACCCCAGGTCAATCATAAGGTAATGTGTAAACAACGCTAAAAAGCCTTTTACTCTATCTCAATCCATTCAGAAGTTGCAGTACTTTGAAATCAATTTTGATGGAAAAAAATCCTCATTTAAGGGTAGCGGTGGCCTAGTGGTTAAGGTGGTCTGCCACTCAACCTAGGGATCATGGGTTTGAGCCTAATCATGTCATGATAGGGGTGTCATCGATAAGGATTTTGTATCGATATATCGGTAATGAATTATCGGCGATACAGCGATATATCGAGTGCCAGGCAAAATTAAGATTTCAAGTCTTTTTTAATTTGTTTCAATATGCAGTTATATTTAAACACATGCAAAAAAAATAAATAACCTATGAAAAGTGAACAATTTGTTTCTTTTTTTCATTATAATCTTTAATGATAACTTAATATGACTAGTAACAATAATGTTTAAAGCCTTTTCTATTTTACTTTTGTTGTTGTTGTTGTTGCTAATACGTAGTTCCGGATTATGCTAAATCCCGTTCCTGCCGTTCCATTAGTAAGGCGGGGTTTAATTGCCAAATTATAGTGTTTAGAACGGGAATAATTATTAAAGTTTAACATATGTAATCATAATTATACAAAGAAACACTTACAAAAATTTTCTTGGCATTTTCCCTTTAAAAAATCTGAATTGGGGGAGTCTTGACCCCAACTTAGCAGACATGCGAGATTACAACGAAATTCAGCAGCATTCGTTAGAGACACTGGAAGGTAACTCTGGTGTTGGTTTCCGTTTTCGTTTTCGAAAAAAAATGTTTGAAATACGTTAGTTCTGCCTTCATTACTTTATTTGTCGCTTTTATTTTGGCGTTTGGTCTAACAGTACTAAAAAACCCGTTTGCTGAAGTCTCTTTGCTAGAAATATGTGTGCATTCGATAAATATCCGATATTTAAAAAATGGAATCGATATCAATCGGATAACAAAGATCGTTGATACACTGATATCGATTGAATCGATTACACCCCTATGTCATGACCATGTTTCTTCATATGACACCAGTACTGGTTGGTTCCAGGAAGCAGACTCAAAAGTGATTAATATGTATATTAAAGACAAAAAACTATGTGTTTTCACCTTATATAACAGAGGCCTGTAAATGGCCTCGTCCCAATCAAAATTTTATTTATCTCATAGAGTTTTCCAAATATCTGAACTTTTACCAGCTTTTCTACTTCCCAAATTAGCAATTTTAGCTATAATTTTCCCAGTCAAGAGGCTAAGGCCTCTTCCTAATTAAGTGAGAACAAACACAGTTAATCAGTTTACACCACGATCATCATTTTCACATACATATATATACATGTATTTTTCTCGTTAATATTGTATTCAATTCTATAAATTCAATTTGTTTGTTAGTAAAACATCATGTACCCCTCATGCTCATGAGGAAATAAACAGATATTTATAAGAAAAATCCAATTTTTCTAGCGGACCTGTACTGACTACTGTACAGTAACCTTGTGATAATGAATGAGATCATTAATTTTATTTTCTTGAATTCTTAGCATACTTATATTTACCTAGACAGTAAGTCAAATTATCGTCTTGTACTATAAACAACAGAAAATTAGTAGATTCAAATTCGTTCACAAATGGCGTACGCGAAACCAGGGGAAATAACTTTATTCATGTTTCAAAGTAAATTTCACGTTGTGTAAATCTTACTAAGACCGGAAGTTTACGTTTCTAAGGCAAATACAAATGGTTGAAAGATGTCAGGTTTACCGAGGGAAGTTTTAAAATGGATACAGAGCCTTGATTTAACTTGGCAGGTGAAAACACCAAAATGGTACATATATTTTCTGTTTTAAAACGATTTTAAATTGTTTTTTTCTTTAACTGTTTTCTTAAAATAGAGTTTCAAAAAGTTCTGCAAAACTAACCATCTCAAACCCCTCGCGGGGACGTGATAAGTCACTTCAGAGAAAGCTATGAGACACAAGGGAATCCGGAAAGCAGTCCCTAACTCTTATTGAATAGACCCCTTGGTTATTTTACATGCACAGTGTATATCACCAAAACATATGAGGATTACCTGGATTTCTTACCAGTACACCTCTAGTTAGGTGTGACTCTGAAAAATCCCAAGGCTGTTACCCAGGATCGAACCCGGGACCTCAGGAGTGACATCCAGTGGTCTAACCAACTGAGCTATCGTGCCACCAAAACAGACACTTTGGGTCAAACCCTATCACCCGGCTTGAATCCATAAAGGTCAATAAAAATCTTTTAACGTTTTTTTTTTTTATGAATGGGACATCTTTCTTAATCATTAGTGTTGTCCACAAGAATAAATAAAAATCTCAAGTCTCGAAAAAAAGTGAAGAGTGCAGACTCAAAATATAAAAAACACAAATTCCTGGTCAGTGACAAATCGGCAGAGTTCCTGGCTTGATGTTCATGCCTCTGGTTCACTCCTTAATTCGCTAACAAAAGGGAGTACACCGTTTGTGCTCCTGCTCAGTAAAGGCTTAGCATGAAGCCGAAACCTCTCCTCGTATTCCTAGGTCCAGATGATGAATTTACTATCGAAATCAATAAAAACATTTTGTAATGTTTTTGGTATTAAAATGTGATTGAAAGGGAGTTTGATAAACTATTTGCAGACATAGGAAGATAAACTTAAGTTTTTATTAAAATGTCATTTTTAATTTGTTTTGAAAGTTTGTGTTTACATTTTGGGGTCTGCAATCTTTTTTTTATAGACTTGATGGTACATGGGATTTTGTAATTGTCCTTATGTAATGATACATATTTGATAGAAATTGATTAATAATTTGCAGGGATATCACGAATGGTTACCTTATAGCAGAGATTTTTTCCTGGTACTTCCCACAAGACATTCAGATGCACTCATACAACAATGGTAGATCATTAGACTCAAAACAAAAAAATTGGGATCTACTAAAGAATGTGAGTATAGAAAACACATCTAGTTTAGTGCACCCAGGTAGATAAATAATATAAGAATATTAACTCACTTGCTTATTGTGGCCTGCTGCCCACACCTCTTCTTCTTAACATGTTTATTTTCAAAACTACAACAAAATTCAGAATAACACTTAGAAACAGAATAAAAGCAAAGTAATTAATCACATGCACACTCATTTAGTTCTGGGATCTGCTTTACTAGATTCTATCCAAGATTTGTAATATATGTAATTTGTGGACTTGTTTATTATGCTTTTACCAATTAATTAAGATAAAACGTGCCATATTAAAAATATATTTACAATACTGCATGTTTGTAATGTCGCTTTTCATTGGATAATCGTGACGTTTATATAATATTCCTAGTATTGTTTCTGATTTAATTGTCAAAATTATAGACTGTGTTTTGTAAAAGGAAAATGACATCAGGCAGCTTGGAAGAGAGATATATGTATATTATATAAGTAATCAAAATCATAAATTAATGCAAATTACTAATAATAGATTTATTTAAAAAGAAAATTGTGTGAATTTTACACAAATTGTAGAAACAGTGAAGCAATGTACCATGTAATATCAACAAGATCCTGTTGGATGTTTGCTTTGTAGATTTATGAAATAACTTTAAGGTATAGTAAAAATACAAGAACACCTTTCTGTTTAAGTTTAATGTCTTGGACAGGTTAGCATCTCTACAACAGATGTCTGTCCTTTATATCTTTTGATATTCTTGTTACATGTGCTACAGGCATTTTCAAAGTAATCTATAGCTTTAAATTCTGTTTGATTTGCAATTAAATTTAGCATAATTGTTCCAGTCTTCATAACCTTTCATACATGGCTATTTTTAAACATTCTGTAGTTTATAAAAAGACACAAGCTGGAGATACCTGCTGATGTTATTGACGGAACAATCCACTGTAAAGAAGGTGCAGCAGCTCTCCTGCTAGAAAGAATGTATGAAATACTCACAAACAGAGTGTAAGTTTTCCATTGAACAAATGAGCCGCGTCATGACAAAACCAACATAGTGAGTTTGCAACCAGCATGATCCATGCTGTTCGCTATCAGTTTCTCTACTTGTTATAGGGTTTGTAAGCGAACAGCATGGATCCAGATCAGACTGCGCGAATGCGCAGGCTGGTCTGGATCCATGCTGGTCGCAAACACACTATGTTGGTTTTGTCATGACGCTGCTCAAATTATACTATAACATTTACATAATACATTGTTCAAATTTTAACACTAACTTAGTCTCATTTTCAAAAAAAAAAAAAAAAAAGAATTTCAAATATGTCCTATAAAATACTGTCATACAACTCATTTTGTAACTGATCAAAATTTACTGCATTTCTCTTCATTTTATTGTGAAAATGTTTTCTGTACTGACTTTACACATATTATATTGTTAGTAAATGTAGTAAACTGTTATTTAATGATTATTTGTTTATTTAATAAAGATCAACAAGGTGATTATAACTATTACTTTTTTCATTTTCTTGCATTTCACAGTTCTGCTTTTTTGCTTTGTACTTTCCATTTCATTATGTCTTTGTTAAGACAATTTAAAGGTTGCTGATTTTTTTATATGCTTTTCATATTTAAGTGTTTTAAAAGGTTATTTTCGTATTTTAAAACAGAAATTACTGAAATATTAGATTGAATTCCTTTAATAATTAACATGTCCTTTAAATGGAAAAAAAAGATTGAGTTATACTTTTTGAGTAAGTGTCCTTACAATTGCACTTCCAATTATCATTGAGGTGTTCCAGGATTAAGCTTTTATGAAAAAAACACCATACACCCTCCAGTGGTTGATTTCCTTCAAAAGTGAATCTGCATTTTGAATGTTCTAACTTGTAGGAAGCATATATAGTGTTTTGTTCACAATTGAGCTTGAACTTTTTCACAAGTATAATACTACAGATAAACCTTTAGTCACAAATCATTGCATAGTATTCTTCACAGTGCAAATAATGGCAAATCATTTGTGGTAAATGTTTTGAAAAACTGTTTCAAGAAAAAAGCAAAAATAACAAATGTATCTTGTATTGTATGTACATTAAACAAATATGAAGAATTAGAAAGAAAATCCATGTTATAATACAAGTCAGACTGAGATTCACATGAGGTTCCATGAGCTACCTTTTTTTAAATGAAAGTTAGAATTTAAAGCTACATGCCTCCAGATGAGTCAAAATATTTTTCATAAAATCAAACTTGAGAAACATGTACTATAATTTTAGGAAATGTAAAACGATTCAAGATTCAAGTAGATCTATTATTTTACATGTTCTGTGTGATTAATGACTGATTTTTCAGTACTTACAACTAAATTGCTACTGCGTTACTAAAGCAGTAAGGGTTTTTTATGCATATTTTGACAACTTTTTGGTAATCTTCGTGGATTGTAAGTGCCATTGAATATGTGTAAATTGCTTCCTTTTGATAACTAACAATATTAAACATTCAGATACATTTTCAAAATTTTAATGACAATTAGCATGAATCTGGAGGCATGCTGCTTTAAATACACATTTACCTATAAGGAGGTATATAATAAAAGAGTATTGTAAGAGAACCTTTATTTAGAACTTGTACTTGGCTCTTGTGATTTTTCTAAGTCTGGAATACTTGAAATAATGTGTTGCTAACCTAACCAGTTGCAATGACTGTTAGAGAATACAAATACCAGATTAAGGTTATCTTATGTTAACCTTAATGACAAAAAAATCTTTTAATTTGACCAAGTTCTTAGGATTGAAAATGTATGAACAAATCATGCTTTTTTTGAATTACCTCATCTCATGTCAATCACATATACATGTATTGTGTTTTTTTTTTATATCCATATCCAAATGTATCCACATCATATTCTTCGTTAATAAGGTTTCTTTTTACAGAGAAAAAAGTGTTGTTTTGATTAATGAGATTAATTAAATTTTGATTTTGCATAAGACTTACCTTTAGCTTTATGTGTTTAATATGATGTCAAAATTTTTGTTCATTTTAATTAATAATAAATATTGTCCAACAATGTAAGTAAATCAAAGTTTCAACATTAGCTGAATAGAAAAAGTAGAAGAAAATTTTTTTTTCCATCTATATTTTCTGCCTTTTTTGTAATAAAATGAAAAAAGAAAAAAAAAACATATATTAAGTCTTATAAATTTTCTTCATTATAAATTTTAAGCAAAATATTTTTTAAGAAAAAAATTAAATTTTCTTGTTTTTGTAATTTTTCAGTGTTAGGAAACTTCCACCAGATTTTGAGCCAGACTTCACAGATCGAGGCTACCAGAACAAATTACCAATGCATGCACGCTCAACTGCAACACAATCTGTCAAAAATAATCTCAGAATTACAGAGATACAAGCTGATTCTAGTCTTATACTTAATTCACAAAAGGTAAGGTAGTGGTTATAAGAATTAAAAGACCTTGTGGAATTTTAAAAAGTTAATAATAATGATAATATTGCTATTTACAGAAGGTAACACATTTAGAATATAATGCAGCAATCATATATATATCTTATTTCCAATGTGGCCTTCTAGTAGAAAAACAACAGCAGAACATGCATACAGGGACAAAAATATAATTGTTTCCAGAATCATTATGCCGTTTAAACTGCCTTTCTATTCCAACATTTAGGATTACATGTACACAATATAAATGGCCTGTGTAAGGAAATTTCAAAGTAAAGGGTATTGTTACAAATTTTCAGCATTTATACACCTTATTATGAAATCTCAAACATCAAAAACTACATGTTTTTTAAAAAAGTTCAAAATATTACAGGATTTTTTTTAATTAAAAACATACAAAAAAGAAATTAAATGAATTAAATAATTATGAACATTTTTGAGATAAGATGTTAACTTTGTTCAAGAAAAATGATTTAAAATCTGATGCTTAAAAACAAAATATGTTTAGATTGAATTTTATTCATTGATTCTGATCTCTGCTTTATAATACTAGTTACAATTACAGAAAATATTTAGCTTGTTGCAGTTTTAGTTGTTCCAGTAAATGCTTTACACCATTTGATAAAATGGGCTATTTCTAGGATCAATTCAAGCCATCATTCACAAGTCATATGTTCAACAGTGACTATAAAGGCACAGTGTAAGAGTAACAATCATTACTTTATAATGCTTTTTTTTTCAGGCTCAGAAAATCATCAATGAGCATATAGATCACAGACGCTTAGAGAGAAATGAGAATCCTGACAGATTCAATATCAAACCATCAATAGGTGAATCAAGCTTCCGTCACCCACTGCCTCAGAGACAGGAAGATGGCAATCAAGAAGCCAACGGTCCTGAACCAGAACGAAGTTAGTTATCATCTGTTTAGTTTTTAGATTAAAAAAAAAGACTTTCACCCTTACCTTATTAAATTTATATGAGAAAATTGCCTCTTTGTAATTGACACTGTATGAAAATGGCTAATGTTATGATGACAAAAATATAGATTCTGGGTATACTGTACCAAAATTCTGACTTACATTAATGTTTACTGGTTACATAGGCAAGTTATTATCACAGCTATTGTTTTGATTTCATAATATTTAATGGACTTAAAACCATGAGCTTCTTTTAAAATATAATTGAGCCACGCCATGACAAACCAACAAAATGGGTTTGCGACCAGCATGGATCCAGACCAGCCTATGCATCTGCGCAGTCTGATCAGAATCCATGCTGTTCGCTATCAGTTTCTCTACTTGTTATAGGATTTGTAAGCGAACAGCATGGATTCTGATCAGACTGCACTGTTGGTTTTGTCGTGACGCGGCTCATATTTAGATTTTTTGCACCGTATTTATTATTGATATTAATTTCTTACTGAAATGACTTTAAACTGTAATATAGATAAAGAAATCCGTAGATAATTGAAGGAATATAACTTCTTATGCTTTCACTCTTTTTTAAAGATTTAACTCTTATTATAGTGTTTTCATTGCATTTGTACAAAGTAACAGTTAACAATGGGGCTTTCAGTTGTTGAAAATTATATTTGTTTTACATAACTGAAGTGTTTTCATTTGTAATAAAGGGAATGTATGCTCTTGTTTTGTTGTCTCAAAAGATCCTTTTATTGATCTATGTAATGTTTATATTGCATTATATTATTTATTTTCAGCACAAAGCCCCATGTCAAGAGAAACAAGCGTACATTTTAAGGAGGTTCAAGTAAAACAACTGGACAAGAATGCCTTGTACAACATGCCCATACAGGGATATTGATTAGAAAGAGACATTTTATCAACCTATTTGTTATAACTATTCTTATTACCCATTAAATCACTACATTTTCCTGAGCTCAGTTCATTTCTATTTCCTTACAGATGTTTTAAAATGGACACCTGTTGCTATGATACTGGATTCTTCTTTTGTTATTTAAAAATATTTTAAGATAATTAGACTAAAATTGAAGAAAATAGAGACTGGTCAGACTTATTCGTATGTTGGTTACTGGCCTGGTTCTATACTGGCAGCATAGTGGCAGTTCATTGTAGATACTATATGGCTTGTACATTGAAATTATCTACTGATAAAACAGATTTTAGGCATTCTTTATTCTTCAATGGTCATTTATTTAAAATACAAGACCTACTCAATTGCATTAGGATAATATTAATTATGAATACACTTGAAGAAATTTAGTTCATCATGTATTCACCAAATTGTTTCCAGAAACTGCCTTTCTATACTGACTATTAGGATTACATTTACATATAAAATACATGTATCTTATATGATGTTTTAACAATACATTAACCATACTTTCTATCAATGTTATGTACTTAATAAGGAAGAAAACAGTTAAATATCTCAAAACTGCATGAACTTATCTAGTTATATTTTGATGTAAAACTTCATAAACTGTTTCAAACACACAGAACAGTATTGTTATTTCACAATAAGTAACCATGTCCCTGTGAATAGCCAGATTTATATTTTACTTATATCTTTTGGTTCATTTTGGAAGTTTAGCTTTGCTGAGCAAACTGTAGATTTTCATCAATTGCTCTACTATTTTGGTGTGGTGATTACACTATACTCCATTTATAACTTTTTCAAGTTGTTTTATTTTGTTACATTGTGTTTGGTACGGAAATTATACTTGGACATACATGTACATCATTTATACTTTATTATATAATAAATACTGTGAAAGATTGATTTTTTTGTCTTCAAAAAGTTTAGCTTAAGACAAATTCACTGCATTGTAACCAACTGTATGATTAACTTATTTCTCCAAGAACATTTTGGACGTTTGAGGGGCTAAAAATGGCCTCAATTCGACCTTACCAATGCTGAAAAGCCTTTGTCTCTATCTCAATCCATTGAGAAGTTGCAGCTGTTGAAATCAATTTTAAGGAAAAATCAAGGCAAAAAAATGATTTTTGGCAATTTTAAGATATCCCCTCGTTGCCATGGTAACAGGAAATATAAGATTGACCATGCCGTTACAGGGCTATGGTCCAGTCAACATTTGTGCCAAGTTTGAACAGTATTGAAGCCCTTTTTTATAGTTTCATACCTATTTGAACTTGTAAACAAAGGCTTCTATTGAATAAAAAAACAGCCATTTTTTCACAAAATGCTCATGAAGTTATGGGTTAATTGTTATCATTACATGATTAACTCTACTTATTAAAAATAAAAAGGTGGATTATTTTTCCTAAACCAGTCGATAGATTTTGATCAAACTTTACGGAGGGCAGCTACATATTGTATTGTAAAAAAATATCAGAAACTTACAATGCCCAGGGCCTTGCCAGGGCTTACATATTTGTCATGTAGCATCACCAGCGGACACAATGTGGTCCTCTACAGGTTCAAAGCTGGCCATGCCTGCCCAGGTGTTGTGTAGAATAATATAAGAAAACATATTCCACAATAAAATACAACATTAAAATTGACGCAAATGCTTGCGCTTTGTATTTACAAATAGAAAGTTTTTTTTTGTGTTTAAGAGTTTAATATGCACAGTTATATTGTACATGTATCTGATCACTCAGTGATGATCGAGTAGGTCATTTGCGAAGAAATCGGAATAACAACAACAGTAGTGAGTTATCCGGTGGATCTACTGCCGGAATATGACCACTTTGTTAAAACTGGAGTGAAAACCCAGAAAATCAAATAAATCAAGATATAAGAGTCTTTCCTTGCTATTTTACTCATACAGGCTATTACAGTGTACCAAGAAGGAGGATGTGCTGGAGTCGAGGAGAAAACTTCCGACACAACCAACATGCCACATGACAGATTTGATACCTTAGTCAGTTTATCTGTCCACATATGTGATAACAGCAACCGGAATAGGGATGTCAAATAAGTATGGAGGGCCTTCGTTACCAAAATTCAAGACATATAAAGTGTTTCTTGTGTATGTCTTACTAGCAATTTTGACTGTATCCTTGCACAGGAAATAATATGCCCCTTTATCAAAACTTAATTGAGGGTTCCCGCTTTTATTAAACAAGTTTACATATAGATCTTGTATCATAGTTTGGAGACCTTTCTGTTGAAAATGTGTCAGGGTTAAATCGTATACATATACATGCACAGTGCGTTAACTGGAGTGCGGGTATTAGTTACCCGCACTCCAGAGCATGCCCATTGATTGGCTCATTTTTGCTGGGGTTTACATATTGTGACGCTAGAGAAAGGGAAAGCGACAGAAATGTCATATTCAGATGTTCGTTCATTGGTTCATTTTTGCCGGGGTTTCATATTGTGACAACAGGGAACGTGCTTTTATGTTTGACTATGATACAAAAGAGAAAGAACACCAAAACACTCGGCAATCTGATTAATACTTGGGGGCTACGCCCCCTCGTACAAATCAGATAGCCTCGTGTTTCGGTGCTCTTTCTATTACTTATTCCATTGCATACTAGTATTACAGTTGTACATACTTTTGTCTTGTCTCAGGTACAGACATATATCTATAAGTGTGCAAACTTGCTTATGTATAATATGCTAGTTTCAAGTTAAAGATTACTTCCCAAGCTTTCTAGGGATGCATTAAATATAAAAACAAATTAAGTAGAAGTGTTAAAATGTTTGATCCAATGCTGTCGCGGTTTTATTCTGTCTGAAGCCACTCTTAAATTGCAAATTGTTAACTTAATAATTAAATCACCGAAAATCCCCTCAATGATGTCAGAAGGCAATATTATAAATTTTGGAAAATATAGGGAGATAAGCACCAAATAATACACTCAATTAACATTTCTTACTATCTCCCTTTAATATTCATGCATATAAACTTTTATAAAGATTTTGAATGACACGGTGTGACCTTAATCTCGTTAAGTCTAAACCTGCGCTCTGCACATTGTCTTATTATTTTTATTATTTCTGCAATTCAGTTTCAATTTCCTTCCATAGGTTCCAAAAAATAGAGTGGACTCGAAATAATGACGTCGGCCTTTATCAAGTAGTCCTGCGCTCTGTTCATTGTCTCATTATCCTTATTAACATTTCTGTCAAGGTGTTTTAATTTCCTTCCATCGTTTCAAAAGTTATATAGCGGACACGGATTGTCTAACAAACGGACATGCCAATATTATGGGTTTTTCTTTACTATTTATATCACATTTTCCAAAATAAACTAGTAATAATGACCACAATTCATGTGATTTTCTCCACTTGGACAGTATGCAATCCCTTAAACATAGATATTGGACCATATAGACGGACAACCAGTACGCTGATAGGGGGGAGGATGTAAAATTTTATTCGCAACATTGTGACATTATTACTGGTTGATGTTTTATTTTAAAGGTCGAAAATAAATTAGGTTTATAATATTTTATCAGAATATAAGCCTGTTACGCGTAGGGTTCCCAAATGTAGCTTCCTGAGCCTTCTTTTATTTATTATTATTATTATTATTTTTTATTTTCTTTCTTCCTTTATTTATTTTATTTAGTGTGTGTTATGTAAATAATACTAAATATCATGCTTGTTAGCACAGATAAAGACTATACACTTATTCTGTATGCTGATGACAGTGAAATTATATTCGCTCACAAACACACAAGTGCTATTTCTAAAAACAACTCCGGAATGTATTAAAGTCTTGTTCGTTCATTTTGGCTTTTAACTAATATATTGTCATTACATCTATGAAAGATTGAATGTCTTATTTTGGATTCCAAACGTGAAAATTTAAACAAGTTAAAGAGTTTAAGACTGTTTGCGATAGACATATTCTTGACACACAATCTATTAAATATCGAGATCTAAATATCAATAATTCTTTGTCCGGTGATACTATGGTAAATGGTATTCCTTGCAAGGTAAAATCACGTCTGCACGCCTCCAGGTAGCAAAACTATTTTGATAAAATGAAAACTTTGAAAAATGTACTAATATTTTAGGAAAGGTATAAAGATTCAAAATTCTAGTAAAAATTTACATGTTATATGCGATTAATGACCGATTTTTTCAGTATGTATAACTATATTTCTACTGCGTTACTAACGCAGTAAGGGCTATTTTTTGCATATTTTGACCTCTTTATAGAAATTTACATAGGTTGTAAGTGGCATTGATAATGTGTAAATTGCATTCTTTTCGTACTTTACAATATTATACTGTTAAATACATTTTCAAATTTACATGAAAATCATTAAGGGAAGTTATTACTCAAAAGGAATGAACATAAATATCAACATTTCCTTCTTTAGAAAGGGTGCACATGATTCAAACATTTCAATAATAGGTTTAAAACATGTGTGTTGCTTGAACACCTGAAGAAAGTAGATCTGAATAAGAAATTATTTGTCACTAAAGAAGCAAATTATAAACTAAGCAGTTTTTTACCTATTGCCAAATCGAACAGGAGCAAAAGACTGGTCAGGTTGAATTAGCCTATAAGCCATGTTTAAGATAAAGACACTTAAAATAAAAAAGCTGTTTAAATAAAGGCATTTTTGGGGTAATGCGCCTTGAGCCTTATGTAAAGACAAGCAATGTTTTTAGATAACAAGCGAAGAAATATTTATGTTCATCAGATACACAATGCTACCCGTGTAAATCGTAAGATTTATACAATGCCATTCAGCAATAAACATGTTAAAGCAATGTTTTATAGCCTATACAAATCCAATGCACAGTGTGAACAAAAATGTAGAACAAAGCAAACAACAAAATGCAATTTTTATAGTATAAATCGTACAGTTATCAGATGAAAAATAATTTAAATTTAAGAAAAAAAAAAAGGGAAGTAATATGAATGACGGATACACATCCATTACACATATATAACCCTAATGAACTATAATAAACATTTTATCTG